ATCTTGACTGCTGTGCAGTGAACAATAGGTAGCTAGACAATACAAATTGTAATCAGTCTCGGGTGTCTCTATTTTTGATTGAATATAGAAAATTGGGTGGGCAGGCAAAAAGATAAAACACTGTAAAGTTGCTATTCACTCACAGGAATATTGTATGTGGTCATTTTGGCTTTGGATCCCTGCATCTAAATCTCAACACACAGACAGATCTGGGGTAACATTTACATTTACATTTTAGTCATTTAGCAGACGCTCTTATCCAGAGCGACTTACAGTTAGTGAGTGCATACATTTTTCATACTGGCCCCCCGTGGGATTCGAACCCACAACCCTGGCGTTGCAAGCGCCATGCTCTACCAACTGAGCTACAGGAGGGCCTGTAACAAAGCAGCAGGACACAGAAACAGACTAAATTGCTAACTTAATATACCACAAAGCATGACCTGACACCCTAGACTGGTATGTAGCACTAGCTATATAAAGATGTTGCATTAAGAGTTAGAAGGGGATAGTTTTACAGGATTAAAAAATAAAAAGTTTATGACAATGGGCACACAGGCACAAAAATCCAGGGCACCCTCCCCCATGAAGCTCACACAACCCCCAATGAAGTCAGGGGACACTTGTGGCTGTGATATTCTATACTTGGAGGGAGGGAGGGGAGGGAAGGGAGGGAGGGAGGGAGGGAGGGAGAGAGGGCTCACAGAGCCAAAATAATCAGCAGTGTTCACTGTTCTGATGTCAGACAACCAGAAAACAAAGTGGCCTCAACTCCAAACTGCTTGTATGATCATGAGAAGGACAGGGAGTCAGGATCATAGAGATATCCCATGTTCTATGTCTATGGTCAGGACAGGCAAAGAACAAGATTAAAAACCATGGCTCTTAGTCGACTACCCTGGACAGATGCTGGTGGCTTCATCAGTGTGTAACCAATAAAATCATTTCACTTAAATTATCCCCTACATAAGGTATTGGTGGTTAATGGCAGGATGAGAGCAGTTGATTGAGTTGTTCAACTGTTATAAGCCATTTTATTGACTTTTATTGACATTAACCAGGTTTCCATTCAACCTTTTTACGCGAGTTAAGTACAGTGGGGAAAAAAAGTATTTAGTCAGCCACCAATTGTGCAAGTTCTCCCACTTAAAAAGATGAGAGAGGCCTGTAATTTTCATCATAGGTACACGTCAACTATGACAGACAAATTGAGAAAAAAAAATCCAGAAAATCACATTGTAGGATTTTATATGAATTTATTTGCAAATTATGGTGGAAAATAAGTATTTGGTCACCTACAAACAAGCAGGATTTCTGGCTCTCACAGACCTTTAACTTCTTCTTTAAGAGGCTCCTCTGTCCTCCACTCGTTACCTGTATTAATGGCACCTGTTTGAACTTGTTATCAGTATAAAAGACACCTGTCCAGAACCTCAATCAGTCACACTCCAAACTCCACTATGGCCAAGACCAAAGAGCTGTCAAAGGACACCAGAAACAAAATTGTAGACCTGCACCAGGCTGGGAAGACTGAATCTGCAATAGGTAAGCAGCGTGGTTTGAAGAAATCAACTGTGGGAGAAATTATTAGGAAATGGAAGACATACAAGACCACTGATAATCTCCCTCGATCTGGGGCTCCACGCAAGATCTCACCCCGTGGGGTCAAAATGATCACAAGAACGGTGAGCAAAAATCCCAGAACCACACGGGGGGAGCTAGTGAATGACCTGCAGAGAGCTGGGACCAAAGTAACAAAGCCTACCATCAGTAACACACAACGCCGCCAGGGACTCAAATCCTGCAGTGCCAGACGTGTCCCCCTGCTTAAGCCAGTACATGTCCAGGCCCGTCTGAAGTTTGCTAGAGTGCATTTGGATGATCCAGAAGAGGATTGGGAGAATGTCATATGGTCAGATGAAACGAAAATATAACTTTTTGGTAAAAACTCAACTCGTCGTGTTTGGAGGACAAAGAATGCTGAGTTGCATCCAAAGAACACCATACCTACTGTGAAGCATGGGGTGGAAACATCATGCTTTGGCGCTGTTTTCTGCAAAGGGACCAGGACGACTGATCCGTGTAAAGGAAAGAATGAATGGGGCCATGTATCGTGAGATTTTGAGTGAAAACCTCCTTCCATCAGCAAGGGCATTGAAGATGAAACGTGGCTGGGTCTTTCAGCATGACAATGATCCCAAACACACCGCCCGGGCAACGAAGGAGTGGCTTCGTAAGAAGCATTTCAAGGTCCTGGAGTGGCCTAGCCAGTCTCCAGATCTCAACCCCATAGAAAATCTTTGGAGGGAGTTGAAAGTCCATGTTGCCCAGCGACAGCCCCAAAACATCACTGCTCTAGAGGAGATCTGCATGGAGGAATGGGCCAAAATACCAGCAACAGTGTGTGAAAACCTTATGAAGACTTACAGAAAACGTTTGACCTGTGTCATTGCCAACAAAGGGTATATAACAAAGTATTGAGAAACTTTTGTTATTGACCAAATACTTATTTTCCACCATAATTTGCAAATAAATTAATTAAAGATCCTACAATGTGATTTTCTGGGGGGTTTTTCCTCATTTTGTCTGTCATAGTTGACGTGTACCTATGATGAAAATTACAGGCCTCTCTCATCTTTTTAAGTGGGAAAACTTGCACAATTGGTGGCTGACTAAATACTTTTTTTCCCCACTGTACATCTCGGACAAAAAATGTAATGACATGCCTGATGGAAACTTTCCAAATGTTGACAAAACAAAATAAGCTATACTAGGTGGGATCTTTTTGTGTCTGTAAAATTAATTATGCGAGAAATGTCAGTGGAAACTCTTTTACACGCAAATATTTATATAATAACCATCATAACGAAGTACATTTGTAGTCACACGATGACATGTTGTGTGACCCTTCCACTATGACTCGTCGGGAAACCAATGCTGTTTTTTAGGCTGCAGATGAAATAGGTTATGATGAACTTCACAGAGTTGTGAAAGTGAAAGATGATGAGATTGATGCTCCTTTCCAAAAAATATTGACGGTCTTATTCTGGTGACATGATCATTGATGCTTGGTTCCCGTTTGACAAATAAAAATAATCTTGCTCTTTTATCTATAATAATCTCATCATGCATGTAGGCTATACCCGCACTGTATCTGCGAGCTGTTGGCTAGAGAGCACGTGCCAATACCAGAGTGGGCACACTCGCTTTATAACGCAATTTTTTTTGTTGAGAAAACCATCAGTAGAGTTGAAAATTAGATAGAAACCTATTTAACTTGTCTTTTTTATTTGGCACATGGGAATTTAACCGCAAAAGGTATTTTTATGAGCACTATGTCATCACGAACAGCCTTTTATCTGCAACAAGTCAATTTGATGGGAACACATCTCTAGTGGGTAAATGCGCATATTGTTTTTATGCAGATTTTAGAATATTCACATGAAAATCTGTTGCCAATTGGATGGAAACCTAGCTATTGATAGTTTGAGTTGATTGCTAGAACTGACCCTGACATTCCAGATGAGTGAAGGGGGCCCTATACTAACATCAGTACCTGTGCTTAATTGAATCAGAGTCAAGCCTGTCACAGTGCAGACACAAAATGCTAGAAACAGATACTGCTCCTGGTTCCAGTTAATTCAATTATGCTGCTATTGTCATCGAGGTAAAACTATGGAAGCTATCTCCCATTACCCACAAGCAGTTGAGTCAACATGTATCAGATTACTGCCAAATGGAGACCCCAAAATAAGTTGATCTTTGATAGTGATTTATGATGCTTGAAAATGCAGCCAAAACAGAAAAAAAACATACTTCAGCCAATTGGACATGACAACAACAAGACTTTCCATTATCATCATGTAAGCCACAGGAATTACAGGGGGCTCCTCATCAACATGTTCCATGTTGTATCTTCTGAAAAGGCTTAACTTCTGATCAAATTAAAAACAGAGGAGTGCCAAACAGACAGACAGACTTTTATGTCAGAGAACAAATAGGTGAGAAACCAGACATGATCTCAGGTATAGTCTAGTAATTATTCTCATAATTTTTGATAAAGTGCCATCTCCTACAATTCACATCACTTGAATGCAGGGCCAGGCTACATCTTATACATTATCCTTATGATCCAAGGACTGTGAAGCTCTGTCTGAAGAGATAGACCATTTTGAATTAATTGAAAACATTATGCCACTAGCACAAGGCCTGTATTAAGTTGAAAAGTATGCTGATTAATATTTATACAAGAACAAGTGGCATGATCAAAGTATATTGACACACTGAAGATATGTTATAGACACCAGTATTTCCCCCAAGAAAAAAAGCTGTTACAGTTGGTTTTATTGCACAGTAACTAATAAGCAACCAATTATTGATGCTGACCAGTTTCCTTTCACTACCATTCCATCATTGTTTTATGTAGCCTAGGCTACCTTTGTTTTCTGCAGCTACCATGTATAACTTAATAAACGTAATAATCAGTACCTTCTGGGTACCAAATGAGTTAAAGTAGCTACCATTGCATAATTTTGCAAATAATGGTATTATGGTCAAATGGTCAAGTGAAGTGAGTGTGATTCAGACATAAGTTTGAGAAAGTTTTAAAGCATGTAGACGCCAGAGAGACTTGACTATGAATAGACTGTTTCTATGGACAGAATTAGATCAGCTCCATTCCACTGGAGATTCTAGTTTGTCACATTATTTTTTACAGCATCTTTATGAAAAGTATAATTAGTGTGTGGGGAATTATATATGTTCAACTATCCTATATGTAACAACACTTGAACCGAAACACTCATGAAACAAATAGCCAATACGTTTCTTATTTTGTAATAACGTTTTGAAAAGACGTAACTACGTTTATTTTCTTTGGGAAATGAATAAGGTTGCTGTGAGTGCACCGGTGTGAGCACTAGAGCAGATGATCTACAAAAACTTGTATTCGAAAAAATAAATTAAAAGTTCAAAATAAAAGTATGCAAAAAATTACTTACATTCATCAGATGACAGGTAAATATCAACGAGACGATAAGTCCAGTGACCTTTTCGATCCGCGTGCCCATTTTCCAGCAACCCAGCACAGGCTGCAAATGCTTGGGAAAGGAAAATCAAAGTCCTTCACTTCTGGCCACTGAAGTAATGTAAGGGTGCACCTCTACACTTTCTACGTCCCACACGCGGTGGGACTTCATCAACAGAAAATTATCCCTTTGTGCGTTTTGTTATGGAAACAGAACACAAATATTTATCAAAAGTGCCGTGAAAGAGATAGATCGGTTTGCGTCACTTCGGACACACTATCCTTTGCACTCAGAAACTTAGACTTGTAATTCCAGCGCAAGTCAGTGAGTCACTGGGAAGTCTGATGCTATTGAGACACACGAGCCACTGCCCTGCGTAAAAGGCGGAATGGAATTCAGGGAGTGCTGCTGATAGGCGGTCTTAATCACTCCGTGAGGAGATGGCACCTAGAACATATTTTGCTTTACAGTTTTAAAACAACCACATTGGTTTAAAATGTGTTTTAGGCTACACGGTTAAATTAACAAATTGAATTGGATCATACATTGGATTTAATGTAAAGATGAATAATTATGCATAATCACGTTAAATTACTCACCAATTCAAAACCCACTCGGATGCAAATGTTAGACTTTTTCTAATCACTTGACTGGTCACAGAACGATGCCCTCGAGGCATGTATTTTAGATCTACTCTCATGCCCGCCAAAGACGTGTGGCGCGCTTTTGTCATGCATCACCACCATCCAAACCAAAAGTGGTTTGGGGGAAGAGCTATGTTTTGATACTACACGATGCGGATCACTTTACCTTTGATGCATTAACTATTCCAGTTGACATTACTGTAGCCTGTAGGTCTAGGTGGAAAGTTTGCACCAGTGGCTTAGGCCTACCTTGATGCAGGTGAAGTCTGCACATCAGCGCCCTCTGTTGATCTCGAATCAGTTGCCCTTGAATCAGTTGCCCTTGTTGCCCATCATGAAGGCTTGATGACGTTTCTCCACTGCATATCAGATAATTAATATATGTGATTAACAGTACATTACAAACATACTATTCTTCATGAAATCAATACACAAAACTATCATGAAGCATGCACTTTTCTAAAATGATAATAGTGTAAGCCTAGAGTAACAATTTAACAATAACTGAAAAAAGTGTGTTACTGGACACCATTGCAAACAAAAAGAGACTTTCTCTAACAGTTCGAGCCTACAGATTAACTACTAAGCCTCCTAACCTTTAGGCCTGAAGCAAATAGGCCAGGTCTGGCTATTTCCAATCACATGCTCCATCCTCAGAACACTTACAAAGAGAGCATTTACTTACAGTGGATTTATGTTTGTGTTCATTCACATCCATAATTGGTACCAAGAACTCCTCCATCTCAAGTGTTCATAGAGAGCAGCTGCTGTCAATTAAGAGTTTAACCCTGGCAATTTCAGTTGCAGCTCGTTCCACTATGTTTTCACTCCCTCTCAAAGGCTAGGCTGCAACAACACTGATTAACACAAGATATATGTGTAGTTACATAGGCATGCATGGTACAGTGTAACTACACTATAATTGCACTGTACCTGCATGTAATGCATATGCATGAGCCAGTGTAATGTGGAACCAAAGTTACATTGAATTCAGGTGCCAAAGTTGTAGTAAGCTGCATTGCACGCCACCATTATATGAACACAAAAATACATCTACTGCAAGTTGTGATCTGCTCCAGGGTTAGAGCTGGCTCCTCTGCTCTTCCTTGGCTTTTCACCTGCCCCAGTTCCTATGAGGTTGAAAGCAGTGTGCAGGATGAGAGACTACAGGCTCGTCTGTAGTGCATGCGAGGCACACTGGACCCACTCCAATTTGCCTACCGCTCCAACAGATCCACGAAAGATTCAATTTCCATCGCTATTCACACGGCCCTAACACATCTGGACAAGAGGAACACCTATGTGAGAATGCTGTGAATTCAACACTATTGTTCCCTCCAAGCTCGACACCAAGCTCAGATCCTTGGGCCTGGACACCACCCTCTGCAACTCGATTCTGGACTTCCTGACGGGCAGCTCACAGACTTTGAGGATTGGTAACAACACCTCCTCCACACTGACTCTTAACACAGGGCACCCCCAGGGGTGTGTCCTCAGCCTTCTGCTGTACTCCCTGTTCACCCATGACTGCGTGGCTTTGCACGACACCAACTCCATAATCAGGTTTGCTGACGACACCATGGTTGTAGGCCTGATAACCAACGAAAACTAGTCAGCCTATAGGGAGGAGGTAAGTGAACTGGCATTGTGGTGCCAGGACAACAACCTCTCCCTCATCGTCAGCAAAACAAAGGAGTTGATTGTTGACTTCAGGAAGCAGAGAAGGGAACATAATCCGATCCACATCAACAGGACTGCAGTAGAGAGTCAGCAGTTTTAAGTTCCTCGGCATCCACATCACCAAGGACTTGACATGGACCAAGAACACCATTACTCTTGACAAGAGGGCGCAACAGCGCCTCTACTTCCTAAGGCGGCTGAAGAAATCTGGCATGCCACGCCAGGTCTTCTCCAAATACTGAACCATCGAGAGCGTCCTGACCGGTTGCATCACGGACTGGTATGGGAATTGCTCCGTCCACAACCACAAGGCTCTCCAGCGGGTGCTGAAGACGGCCCAGTACATCACTGTGACCGTGCTCCCACCCATCCAGGACATCTACTCAAAACATTGCCTGAGGAAGTCCTGCAGAGCATCATCAAGGACCCCACACACCCAAGCCCCGAGCTGTTCATTCCCTTACCGTCGGGCAGACGATATTGGAGCATGAAGTCTGATACCAACAGACTCAGAGACAATTTCTATCTACTAGCCATCATACTTCTGAACACTTGAACTGGACTGACCACCTGCACTGACTCTCCGCACCTTAGCACACATGCACTCACTCACGCACACAAACATACACTCATACACACACACACACTTGCTGCTACCAGACTTGTATTTACTATTGCTAATACTGCACAATTTAAACACCCCAATCCCCCCTTCCCCAAAGCAGATGTAAATATACATTGTGCCTTCACGTATTATACTTATGCTAAAATTATTATTCTATTCTACTAAGCCATTTACTTTATGTTAGTGTTCTTATCTTTTATTTCTTATTGTTGTTGCATTGTCAAGAAGGAACCTGCAAGTATGCATTTAGTTGTGCAATGTATACCATGTTAATCCTGTACATACGACTAATAAAACTTGAAGGGACTGTTCCCTGATACTACCAAGGTGTGGTGATCTTTTCTGGCACTGTTACAGTCGGGAGTTGACGATCCAGCCTACCTACAGAGATGAACTGAACATCGTAGATGTCAATGTGCCTGTTGAAGAGCTCCTGTGGTCTGACTGACATTTCTCCTGGCTGTAGGCCTACTATCTACAGTGCATTCGGAAAGTATTCAGACCCCTTGACTTTTTCCACATTTTGTTACTTTACGGCCTTATTCTAAAATGTATTAAATAGTTTTTTTCCCCTCATCAAACTACACACAATACCCCATAATGACAACGCAAAAACAGGTTTTTAGAAATGTTTGCAAATGTATAAAAAATTAAAAACTGAAATATCACATTTATATAATTATTCAGACCCTTTACTCAGTACTTTGTTGAAGCACCTTTGGCACCGATTACGGCCTCGAGTCTTCTTGGGTATGACGCTACAAGCTTGGCACACCTGTATTTGGGGAGTTTCTCCTATTCTTCTCTGCAGATCCTCTCATGCTCTGTCAGGTTGGATGGGGAGCGTCGCTGCACAGCTATTTTCAGGTCTCTCCAGAGATGTTCAATCGGGTTCAAGTCCGGGCTCCGGCTGGGCCACTCAAGGACATTCAGAGACTTGTCCCAAAGCCACTCCTGCATTGTCTTGGCTGTGTGCTTAGGGTCATTGTCCTGTTGGAAGGTGAACCTTCGCCCCAGTCTGAGGTCCTGAGCACTCTGGAGCAGGTTTTCATCAAGGATCTCTCTGTACTTTGCTCCGTTCATCTTTCCCTCATCCTGATTAGTCTCCCAGTCCCTGCCGCTGAAAATCATCCCCACAGCATGATACTGCCACCACCATGCTTCACCGTAGGGATGGTGCCAGGTTTCCTCAAGACGTGACACTTGACATTCAGGCCAAAGAGTTCAATCTTGGTTTCATCAGACCAGATAATCTTGTTTCTCATGGTCTGACAGTCCTTTAGGTGCCTTTTGGCAACCTCCAAGAGGGCTGTCATGTGCCTTTTGTGAGGAGTGGCTTCCGTCTGGCCGCTCTACCATAAAGGCCTGATTGGTGGTGTGCTGCAGAGATGGTTGTCCTTCAGGAAGGTTCTCCCATCTCCACAGAAGAACTCTGGAGCTCTGTCAGATTGACCATCGGGTTCTTGGTCACCTCCCTGACCAAGGCCCTTCTCCCCCGATTGCTCAGTTTGGCCGGGCGTTCAGCTCTTAGGAAGAGTCTTGGTGGTTCAAAACGTATTCTATTTAAGAATGATGGAGGCCACTGTGTTCTTGGGGACCTTCAATGCTGCGGACATTTTTTGGTACCCTTCCCCAGATCTGTGCCTCGACACAATCCTGTCTCGGAGCTCTACGGACAATTCCTTCAACCTCATGGCTTGGTTTTTGCTCTGACATGCACTGTCAACTGTGGGACCTTATATAGACAGGTGTGTGCCTTTCCAAATCATGTCCAATCAATTGAATTTACCACAGGTGGACTCCAATCAAGTTGTAGAAACATCTCAAGGATGATCAATGGAAACAGGATGCACCTGAGCTCATTTTCGAGTCTAATAGCAAAGGGTCTGAATACTTCTGAAAATAAGGTATTTCTGTTTGTTTTCTAAATACATTTATATGTATTGAAAAGCGCTATATAAAATAAATATATTATTTTTATTCTCTTGGATTCAAGAAACACAAAGGATTATTTGTGTTGCAGACCTCTGAATCCACAATGGTGTGATTTGGAATATAAATGAAAATCATCCACCATTACAGATGGGTCTTTATGTATTGTGAAACACTGTTTGGCATCATAGATACTGTACACAGGCCAAATCCTCAATATCTGACTCACAGACTCCATCTATTGGACAATTACCATTATATTCTTCAACTTCTACTGTGTGAAGTATTCAAATGTAATAGACACATTAGCAGTACTATCTTTATTTCTAGATGTGAATTCTTCCCCAAGAAGCTCTCTCCACTAGTGCAGCCAAATATGCATGGCTTCCAGCCAAGATACTCCAATGATAGGTTCTAGCGTTTGCATCATTATATTCGGGCAAAGGACAACTGAGGTAAAAATGGCAATTGACTATGGCTACAGACATTAGGCTACAGACATAGTGAGTCAGTCAACTCTACAGTATCTCATTCAATTGAGTGAATGCAACGGTAACCTTTAAATAAAAAAATTAAAACTGTGTAGAAATACGACCAGAACATAGCATTACACAATTACATTTGGACATCAGATCATTCATATACAGTACATTAATACCCATTCACCTAAAACGAATTCTCTCAAGATGAAAATAACATATTATAAACAATAGATTTTCTGGCTAAAAGTAAAGGTCGTCAAATCAGCAGAAAGTTCTTATACAGAAACCCAGCCTAAAACCCCAAACAGCAAGAAATGCAGATGTAGAAGCATGGTGGCTAGGAAAAACTACCTAGAAAGGCAGGAACCTAGGAAGAAACCTAGAGAGGAACCAGGCTCTGAGGTGTGGCCAGTCCTCTTCTGGCTGTGCCGGGTGGAGATTATAAGAGTACATGGCCATTAAGGCCAAATCGTTGTTCAAAGGTTCATAGATGACCAGCACAATCAAATAATAATCAGTGGTTATAGAGGGTGCAGTCCTGATTAATATTTTGCAGAGAGCTTCCTCAAGGCAAACCATTGGTTTTCACTGATTACAATGTTTTTGATTGTCACAAAGATTTTGCAATCTGGTAAGCGCAAACATTTTGAGTGTAAAAACAAGAAAAGAAAGAACATTTTAAAAGAACAAACAACATACAATTACAATCTTGGTCTTCCTGTTCGATATCCAAATAAACATTGATAGAGGAAAAAAAAAAAAAAAAATGTATGGCACACGAAGAGACTGAGAGTGAAACTGTGCTGTCATGCCTGGATTGGTCTCTGGACTTGAAAGTAGAGAAGTTTGCGGAGAAAGTTAAAGGAACCAGGCATTTGTTTGTAGAGGCCTTTGGCTGAGTTCTGTGAAACGTCATGGTTTACCTGAACACACAAAAACACATTGATAGCTTCATAAGAGAAAATCCTTACTGCCGTTCAAAATAAATACATATATATTTTAAATGTATTGTCAATTTTTTTACGATATTAAAACAACAACAAACTCACCATCATTAACATGGTGACCAGGTCATCAGTGGCAGCATTGTCTTCTAAGATGTTATCCAGTGTTTCTACATACCAGGAGCCAGCTTTTGTATCTCTCCAGGAGACGTAACCTGTCACACAGACAAACAGCTATCAGGGCGACAGACATACTAATGACACTTTCTGGGATTGATCACCACAAAGAAGTATTGTATTTGAGAGCAACACACACACACACACGTGCACATACACACACTCCCTCCCCCACACACACCTGGGAAGGTGGAGTAGGACACCAGTATGTCGCTCGGTGTGGGCAGTGTGGCCCTAGCGTCTGGCTCATCAGACGGAGTGCTCAGAGAGTCACTGCTGGAGGATATGGGCATGGCATCCGTCTGGTCATCTGTTCCTCCAATACAAGGCCCATCCTCGTCAGGAGTCACCTCAAAGCCTGTGTCTCTCTCACCTGCCATACCACATCGCATAGAACATTATACAAGTTATATCAAATGTATTATATTTTTTGGAGATATAGATCATGAACATAATGGACATAGTTAATGGACATAGTAACATCCCATCTACATATTAGTATCCTAGCCTGGACTCCAGCCGTTCTAGGTTTCTCGAATGAGAATCCGGTGTGGTGACTGGCAGAGCGAGGAGCGAGACTGGTTTCCCCAAAATATTTCCTCCACTGTTGGCGATGTAACCCAGTGTACAGACTAGTATTACAACACATTCATAACCTTGTTGTTACAGTGCTGCATAAGAAGTACTAACTAATAACTAAGCATAAGCAACTCCTGCAGTTAAGTTGTCTTACCTCCACCACAGGCCTGGATGAAGAAGAGCTTGGGCTTGCCCTGTAGGGAAGGGCAGTTCTGACCATTGAGGTAGTTTGTGATGCGCTGAACTGGGACATTGGGCCCGTCCACTCCATGCACTGCACCAGGGAAGCGATTGTGACTTACCTGAAAATATGCAATGAAATGCAATAACATTATTCATCTCCTGAAAGACAAACCTTTCTACTCTTTCTATGCATTTGTAAAAGGATAGAAGGAGTCTCTTACCTCCGTCCCATGTGATAACATGATCACTACACAGCAGTCATATTGTGAATGATCCTTCTTGGACAAAGCTGATAGCTCCTGCCTTATTTGCTGAAATATAGTGATTAATGTAAGCATTAGATCATTTGGCCAGTATCTAAGTTAAACATGAATAGATATAAAAGAGAGTAGCTGAGGAAATCCTCACCTTCTGTTTCAGGTTTGTCTTGACAAGGACAATAAAGTTGAGGGATTTAAATCTTCTCTCCAGTTTGTCGCAGTCTATGTTGGACCCTGTGCGGTTATTCAGCTCTGACTGAGGCTCAAAATCGACATTGTTTATGATCAGGCAGTGTCCACAGGGGCTGGCATCCATCTTATAACTCTGAGAGAGCATAAAAGCAAAGAATGCATTGATTCCACAGTATATCCAAACTATAAAATTAGGGAACTGGTTAGACTCAAATTTGGACTTGTTGCAATCTTGACGAGGCAAGATACAGTATGTGGATTTATATAGCATAATTTGTGAAGTTAAATTCAACAGAACTGAGATACACCAACTCCTTTGGAGAGTACTGTCGATAACCACAATGGGGAACGGATGCTATATTTAGCCTACAGTATATAGAGCCAAAAGGCAAGATAACTTACCTGAATACTGTCACGTCTAACTCTTCCTGTTGCCCTGTGTTTTCCAAACTCCCTTTCAGGGGCTGTAATAAACATCACCACTTTTATACTTGAATATTCAGAGACATATGTCAAAGTACTTACAGAAAATTGTTGTATTCACTTACATGGACTGAGAGTGGTAGGCGTAGGCAAAGGTCTAACTGATTGACTTGGACAGACAGGGGTAATAGGCAAAGGCCTAACTGATTGAGTTGGATAGACAGGGGTTACCACTTGTACAGGCTTGTCAGTGTCCATATGAGAGTCTGTCAAAATAGAGCAAAATCCAAAGCAAATATGAACATTTCAGTAGTATGGACCGACATTGCAATGAGTGATACATTATATTTAACCACATAGGCATACTTACAAACTGGCAAAGGCCTAACGACTGGCCGGACATGGACAGGCAGAGGTAGAGGCTGGCTCTGTGGTTCCCCCGCCAACAGGAGATCTGCCAAACTATGCGGCCCTTTCTCACGAAGGCACTCTATTAAAGCTGGGAACGCCTGACTCCCACGGGTCTCCAGGTCTCGAACCAACTGTCTGGCTTGGTCTCGTCTGGTTCCTGAGCTCTGAAATAGAGGAACAACGCATGGGCTTGTGAGAACTGAAAGTAGCATATGATGCATGCTTAGAATTCAGGTAGCCTGTTCATAGTCTCACACACCAGACTTTGCTGTGTGCAAAAGCATGGGAATGAGGATAGCCTAATCATGATGATGTCTATCATGAATCGGGATTCTTGCAAGACAGACAATAATAGTCAAGCAGAATACCATCACACCCTACCTTTATCTCGTCGATCATGTCTTGAGTAAAGATTCCTTTTGACAGAAGTCCATCATACATTTCTGATGGGTCCAGGCCTCTCACGAGATTGACCCTATTGCGTTGGAGAATCCTTTTGTGTCTTTCCTCCATTCCGTAGGCTTATATGAAGCATGGAACACGAGCTCTGCAATGATTATGTGGCAGAGAAGAGAAATGACCAAATCAGTTCCACTTCCATAAGTGTTCCTAAAATGTATTTACATGGTTGTTACAAAGACAATCCCAGTACTACAAAATATCAACAAGCAATACAAACAGCAAACAGGCAGAGAAGACGAAAATCACTTTATTGTCCAATTGTACACAACGTTAAAAGGAAATTCGACTTCTGCGTTATCCCAACCCTTCCGAAAGACATACATACACAGGTTGGAGAGTTTAGAGCAGAGGGTAGCCACACTGTGGAGCCCATGGAGCAGTTGTGGGGGTTAGGTGCCTTGCTTAAGGGCACAACGGCAGGAGATGGGATCTAGGATTTCAATACGCGGGTGCAAACTCACTTCTCACCTATTTATTCTCCGGCAGACCCGGGATTCAAACTGGCTGGCACGCGAAAAACAGTGAAAATGTACCCGCCTAACACATTCATAGTCGCTAACTACCTTTAGCGCCTATTGACGATAGTATCTTCTAGCCGGGGTAGTTCTGTTAAGAGCCCCAACGCTCATTCTGAACGTTAAAACGCATCGCTTGCAGGATGGTTTTGGAAACATAAGGAATGCATCTTTCATATAAGCAAGAAATAATTTCCAAAAAATAAAAAGGTGAAATTACTACACACCTTTATAGGGTTAGTGTTCCCACATGGCCATATTTCCATGTTACAGCGCTTGTTTATGGAAAACAGACGGAAGACAGAGGCATACCTGTGCCAATAGCTATCTGAGTCTCCAAACACCTGTGTGTAAATGGAAGACAGACACCACTATGTTGTCACTGAAAAATACTGTCTGCTGCAGCTGTGTTAAAACCGGTTTAAACAGTGTGAGTGTACTAGTAAGTGTATATTTAGCATTTGTGAAATTATTTTGTATTGTGATGTGATATGAAAGTAGAGGGATTTATGTTTCTAGAACTGTAGCGCAATTGAGAATCGATTCAAGTTTAGATAGTAGTATCTGGCTGTTTTGGTTGTCAGAGCCAATTCGCCACTAAACTGAACAAGGTCCTTGGACTAGCGAATAACGTTAGGCTCCTTTAGTCCATTATTGGACTAGTACCTGCCTAGCCATAACCATCTAAATATGGTATTATGGACATATAAATACAATGAATTCTAATTATATGATTATGGACACATGAATGGGTCCAACACATACTTTGAGCAAATGTTTAGCAGTTATTTCTCAATGAAAAGTAAATTTAAACGTTCTGTACCATTTGCAAACAGGCTAGCTAGCTAACTACATCATGAAACGACATCGACCAGGGCTAAAGTAATGTTACACGGAAGTCCTGAGTTTCAAAATACAGCATATGTATACATATACTTATATTTATATATATACTTAAACATTTAACTGTATACAGTGGTCGTAAGTGAGAATAGAAATAATAGACAGAATATAATGACAAACAGTCGTGATAAATATATTTTTACCAGCTCCGTGTGATCTCCTCACAGACTTAATTCTCCCCTTCTATTTCACTGCCGACTTCCTTGTTTACATCACACATCTTCGTGATTGGTGAATTGTAATAAACTCCAACTCCCACAATGCTTTTCGGTGTATCAGGGTCCCTCCTTCACACTGGATGCAGTCCCAGCAGGTTCTCGTTTACGGAGGAGAGATAACGTTAGAGAGATGAAGCTTCAAATGACACCTTTACCATGCTTTTCTTTCGCCGATAAGCAGTGACAGAGACATTTTAGATAAATGTGACAGAAGAACAGTTGATCCAACCAGATTCTTGAGGTGCGTGCATGTTTTTCAACAAGCTAGCCTCTCTATTATAAATTGATTGCATAGCAAGGTGGTGAATTCAAGTTAATGGCAGTGTAATGCATGTGTTCTGTTTTGCATCTTCACATGTGGCAATTATAATGCCATTGCCTGCTAAATGCTGTGTTTAGATGGTTAGTTGGGTCTGTGTATATTTCAAGGGTTGCCCTTTCTTTGGCATTCTAATCTTCCTTTTACCAATACAGATTCATTTACCTAACCTTAGCTACACATCCCATCAGGCATTTATGTTCACTCAGACTCTCTTTGTTGGTGCTTTCCAGACAGAAAACATGGCAAGAAGAACAAGGATGTTTATGACATTTCCTGGTATAGTGGTTGTCTGTCTGCTTCTTCTGGGTGGCTCAATGGAGACAGCCAATGAAGTAGACCCATACAAGATTCTTGGAGTGACCAAAAGTGCAAGTCAAGCTGAAATCAAGAAAGTGTACAAGCGCCTAGTTAGGGAATGGTAAGAACATCTTTAACTGACTCTTTCTCTTCTGGGTGTCAGGACTCAGTGGATATATTTAGCATTAAGACGATTGACTCTGTTTACAAAAATACATGGCCAGTGATGCATGGTCCTTTATTTCTGTAAGGCATCCTGATAAAAACAAAAATGAAGGCGCTGAAGATATGTTCATCAAGATTACAAAATCTTATGAGGTAAGAGAGTATCCAATATTTGCCAACATTAAAACCGCAGCAGTCTACTGTAATTGCATTATTCAGAAGGAAATGCTCCACCCTCTGGTAACCAAATTCATCTGCTTTCTACCCAAACTCTTTAAGATATTATTCAACGAGGAGAAGAGAACCAACTATGACCGGTATGGCCAGACTGATGACACCCAGCCGTATGGTCATGGTCACTACGGTCACCGCCACGACCACTTCTACTTCGATGAGTCCTTCTTCCACTTCCCATTCAACAACAAGGGCAACCGGGAGTTTGCCGACAGCAAGTACGCTCTGCACTTCAACCAGTACGTGAATGACGTGGTGCCTGACAGCTATAAGAGACCGTACCTGATCAAGATCACTTCCGACTGGTGTTTCAGTTGTATCCACATTGAGCCGGTCTGGAAAGAGGTTGTGTTGGAGCTGGAAGCCTTGGGTAGGAAATTATGAAATGCATTACACAAATTAAAATGACTTAACGACTTCACCTTCCACATGACATGAAAGTGTATTACATTTACATTACATTCTAGTAATTTAGCAGACACTCTTATCCCGAGCGACATACAATCAGTGCATTCAACTAAAGTAGGTAAAATAACCATACTGAGTCTTGGTTTGGCTGATTATGTGTATAACTGGTGTGTTATGTCTTAGGTGTGGGGATTGGTGTGGTGGATGTTGGCTATGAGAGACGTCTGGCCAATCATCTCGGTGCTCACCGCACCCCGTCCATACTGGGGGTTATCAATGGGAAAGTGACCTTCTTCCACTACTCTGTGGTGAAGGAGCACCTGAGGCAGTTTGTGGAGGACCTGCTCCCTCAGAGACTGGTTGAGAAGGTAAAATAACATGTTTTGGCAGATTTGTTTTCTGACTCACCATTGTTGGCATCTCAGCAATTATGTTAACAAAAGAAAACGGTGTTTCAGGTTACAGACAGGAACGACCTTCAATTCCTGAACAGCTGGCATGAGCAGAACAAGCCGCACGTGCTTCTGTTTGACCAAGTGCCTGTAGTTCCACTCTTGTACAAGGTAAGCCATTGTCTAGATTAGTCAGTCTGGCGTCAGTTTTAACTACCACTGAAAGCGCTGGTCTGACTAACTATTATTTACTTCCTTCTGGAACATAGGCCATCGACAACAGTTTTCTAATACTTGGTTACTGTTTTTAACAAATCTTTCTTAGCTGACTGCTTTCGCCTATAAGGATTATGTTCAGTTTGGATATGTGGACCAGGGCCTGTCAGAGACTGCAAACCTGCTGAAGCAGTTCAACATCAACACCTACGCCCCCACCATGCTGGTCTTTAAGGAGAGTACAGACAAGCCTGCAGACATTATACAGGTAGGTACTAGACGGTTTACTAGACTTGACTACTGTGTATCCTCTTACATTTCCACCAGACAGTTTGATTGAATAATTAAATAGCATTTGAATACCTGAGTAGTATCTGAGGTATCTGAATTACTGACATATTATTGATTATATTTAGAGATGCTGTTTTTGTTGTTAATTAAGCTGATTAGATACATGGCATTTAATGTCATTGATACCTATGTGTCGTTGTTCTCCTCTAGGCTAAAGGGATGAAAAAACAAATAATTGATGAATTTATAACGAACAACAAGTTTCTCCTCGTCCCTCGACTGGTGAACCAGAAACTGTTTGATGAACTTTGTCCTGTGAAGCAGTTCCACCGACGCAGGAAGTAAGCTTATGCTTTTCATTTCCTTTTTGGCTCAAGTCTATGTCTATTTTTAAACATACCATTTATGAACAGCCAGTTTACGATTGCACTTTTGCATCATTGTTCCCAAACGTCTGTATTTTAGGTACTGTGTTCTATTGATCACTGGTGATGAGGAGTCCTATACCATAGGAAACCAGGCCTTTCTCTCATTTGCCTCCACCAACACTAAGGAGGTGGTGAGGTTTGCCTACGTCTACCAAAGACTGCAACAATCACTGTGTGATATTCTTCTGAAGACTAAGGACAGCACACCACCACCTCCACCACCACAGGTACATTTATGCTAACAGAGCTGTAGTAGAGACTGTAGAGTGCCATATTAAATATTAACTTTGTTAATGTGATCTCTTTGGATGCATCTTAAGAGCCATATGGACTGCAATTCAGTTTTAGAGTGCTTATGGTAGAAGTGTCTATATAATGAGCTACAGACACACATCCTCTCTCTCTATTATAATGTATCACAAGGTTAGAACACCTTTCCCCAATACTATAAGCTCATGTGAATGTGTGTGTCTGCATGCGTGTGCTTGCTCCGCAGGTGTTCATCTTGGAGCGTCGTAACGCAGCAGGGAAGGTCCTGTACATGGAGGTGGCGGGTGGTTGGAACGGTACTGATGAGGATAAACAACGTCTGTTGGATGAGCTGGAGAGGCTGCAGAAAGACCCCTCCATCCTCAACTACGATGCCATGCTGCCGGAGCTCAACAACGAGTTTGCCTCTGTAAATTGAGTTCCACAGTATTATCCTCATTAGAAGGGCTGGCCTACTTAAGTCTCGGCAGAGCAAGGGTAATGATGTAGTAATTAGTACTGTGTCCAGAGATAAGGTATTTGTTCAAATGTTATTTTGTAGCATTCCAAATCTGCAAGGTTTTTCATTTCTATGGTGGATAATTCAGGATAATTATATGCAGTAAATGTATATATATTTTTAATTCCAGATGTTTCTTATTCGATGGATCTATACAGCTTATGATTACCTTTCTGAAATTCTTGATGATATTCTTCATAATAATTGGTAAGTTGTCTTTTATTCAAAATTGTAGGTACAGTGAGGGAAAAAAGTATTTGATCCCCTGCTGATTTTGTATGTTTGCCCACTGACAAAGAAACGATCAGTCTATAATTTTAATGGTAGGTTTATTTGAACAGTGAGAGACAGAATAACAAAACAAAAATCCAGAAAAACGCATGTCAAAAATGTAATAAATTGATTTGCATTTTAATGAGGGAAATAAGTATTTGACCCCCTCTCAATCAAAAGATTTCTGGCTCCCAGTGTCTTTATACAGTAACGAGCTGAGATTAGGAGCACACCTTAAAGGAGTGCTCCTAATCTCAGTTTGTTACCTGTATAAAAGACACCTGTACACAGAAGCATCAATCAATCATTCCAAACTCTCCACCATGGCCAAGACCAAAGAGCTCTCCAAGGATGTCAGGGACAAGATTGTAGACCTACACAGGTCTGGAATGAGCTACAAGACCATCGCCAAGCAGTTTGGTGAGAAGGTGACAACAGTTGGTGCGATTATTCGCAAATGGAAGAAACCCAAAATAACTGTCAATCTCCCTCGGCCTGGGTCTCCATGCAAGATCTCACCTCGTGGAGTTGCAATGATCATGAGAATGGTGAGGAATCAGCCCAGAACTACACGGGAGGATCTTGTCAATGATCTCAAGGCAGCTGGGACCATAGTCACCAAGAAAACAATTGGTAACACACTACGCCGTGAAGGACTGAAATCCTGCAGCACCCGCAAGGTCCCCTTGCTCAAGAAAGCACATATACAGGCCCGTCTGAAGTTTGCCAATGAACATCTGAATGATTCAGAGGAGAACTGGGTGAAAGTGTTGTGGTCAGATGAGACCAAAATCGAGCTCTTTGGCATCAACTCAACTCGCCGTGTTTGGAGGAGGAGGAATGCTGCCTATGACCCCAAGAACACCATCCCCACCGTCAAACATGGAGGTGGAAACATTATGCTTTGGGGGTGTTTTTCTGCTAAGGGGACAGGACAACTTCACTGCATCAAAGGGACGATGGACGGGGCCATGTACCGTCAAATCTTGGGTGAGAACCTCCTTCCCTCAGCCAGGGCATTGAAAATGGGTCGTGGATGGGTATTCCAGCATGACAATGATCCAAAACACACAGCCAGGGCAACAAAGGAGTGGCTCAAGAAGAAGCACATTAAGGTCCTGGAGTAGCCTAGCCAGTCTCCAGACCTTAATCCCATAGGAAATCTGTGGAGGGAGCTGAAAGTTCGAGTTGCCAAACGTCAGCCTCGAAACCTTAATGACTTGGAGAAGATCTGCAAAGAGGAGTGGGACAAAATCCCCCCTGAGATGTGTGCAAACCTGGTGGCCAACTACAAGAAATGTCTGACCTCTGTGATTGCCAACAAGGGTTTTGCCACCAAGTACTAAGTCATGTTTTGCAGAGGGGTCAAATACTTATTTCCCTCATTAAAATGCAAATCAATTCATACATTTTTTGACATGCGTTTTTCTGGATATTTGTGTTGCTATTCTGTCTCTCACTGTTCAAATAAATCTACCATTAAAATTATAGACTGATCATGTCTTTGTCAGTGGGCAAACGTACAAAATCAGCAGGGGATCAAATACTTTTTTCCCTCACTGTATGTATTTGGGAGCGAACAACATAAGGAGAAAAGGACATAATCAATGTCTGAAATATGTTTCTGCAGGCGTGAGATGATGCCCCTTCTGTCGTTGATATTCTCTGCCTTATTCATCCTGTTTGGCACTGTGGTGGTTCAGGCCTTCAGGTAAGATGGAGGAACAGTGTGATTCTGCTACTCAAACACATTACCTTGAGGGAAACTGTTTGTTTAGGCTTACCGTTCTGCTTTGTGGGATTTCAGTGACTCTAGTGAAGATGGCAAATCCAAACCCAAGGCAAAAGAAGGAGCCAAGGCAGAAAATGGGTCACCGGGTAGCAGCAGCACCTCAAGGCAAGACAGCATTTTATATTTTAAGCTATATTGAAAATATTCAAGCTGTGACTAAAATGTTTTGTTTTGGTTTAACTATCTGACATATTTTACAGATTACATTTAGCTTTTCAGTGATGTCAACGCAATAAATAAAAATGAGTGGTTCAGTGGTTCTACTTTTTATTTACATTTTATAGTCGCCCACCGAAGAAGAACTTTGTGGAGGTGACGGAGCTGACAGACATCACATACACCAGTAACCTGGTGAAGCTGAGGCCAGGCCATATGAACGTGGTACTGGTGCTCACTGACACCACCAAGAACGTCTTACTCAGCAAGTTCGCCAAAGAGGTCTACTCTTTCACCGGGTGAGGGCAGGATATGATCCCACATGGTCTGGTGCTTGAGGTGCAATACACATACATTAAATTATGTATGTTTTGTGCTTATAACATGAATATTTATATGTGGAATGGTGAACGCAACTGCCGTTTTACAGTGGGGAAAAAAAGTATTTAGTCAGCCACCAATTGTGCAAGTTCTCCCACTTAAAAAGATGAGAGAGGCCTGTAATTCTCATCATAGGTACACGTCAACTATGACAGACAAATTGAGAAAAGAAAATCCAGAAAATCACATTGTAGGATTTTTAATGAATTTATTTGCAAATTATGGTGGAAAATAAGTATTTGGTCACCTACAAACAAGCAGATTTCTGGCTCTCACAGACCTGTAACTTCTTCTTTAAGAGGCTCCTCTGTCCTCCACTCGTTACCTGTATTAATGGCACCTGTTTGAACTTGTTATCAGTATAAAAGACACCTGTCCACAACCTCAACAGTCACACTCCAACCCCTATGCCAGACCAAAGAGCTCAAAGGCACCAAAACAAAATGTAGACCTGCACCCGGCTGGAAGATAATCTGCAATAAAGTTAAGCCTTGGGTTTGAAAAAATCTTTTGCATAATGTTTTTATTTTCAACATTGTAGTCAGTGACGGGAAAAAAGTATTTGATTTGTACGTTTGCCCATGACAAAGAAACTCTCCCCATGGCCAGACCAAGAGCTCTCAAGGATGTCGGACAGATTGAGACCTACACAGGCTGGAATGACTACAAGACCATCGCCAAGCAGCTTGGTGAGAAGGTGACAACAGTTGGTGCGATTATTCGCAAATGGAAGAACCCAAAATAACTATCAATCTCCCTCGGCCTGGGCTCCATGCAGATCTCACCTCATGGAGTTGCATGATCATGAGAATGGTGAGGAATCAGCCCAGAACTACACGGGAGGATCTTGTCAATGATCTCAAGGCCGCTGGGACCATAGTCACCAAGAAAACATTGGTAACACACTACGCCGTGAAGGACTGAAATCCTGCAGCGCCCGCAAGGTCCCCTTGCTCAAGAAGCACATATACAGGCCCGTCTGAAGTTTGCCAATGAACATCTGAATGATTCAGAGGAGAAACTGGGTGAAAGTGTTGTGGTCAGATGAGACCAAAATCGAGCTCTTTGGCATCAACTCAACTCGCCGTGTTTGGAGGAGGAGGAATGCTGCCTATGACCCCAAGAACACCATCCCCACCGTCAAACATGGAGGTGGAAAACATTATGCTTTGGGGGTGGTTTTTCTGCTAAGGGGACAGGACAACTTCAGCGCATCAAAGGGACGATGGACGGGGCCATGTACCGTCAAATCTTGGGTGAGAACCTCCTTCCCTCAGCCAGGGCATTGAAAATGGGTCGTGGATGGGTATTCCAGCATGACAATGATCCAAAACACACAGCCAAGGCAACAAAGGAGTGGCTCAAGAAGAAGCACATTAAGGTCCTGGAGTAGCCTAGCCAGTCTCCAGACCTTAATCCCATAGAAAATCTGTGGAGGGAGCTGAAGGTTCGAGTTGCCAAACGTCAGCCTCGAAACCTTAATGACTTGGAGAAGATCTGCAAAGAGGAGTGGGACAAAATCCCCCCTGAGATGTGTGCAAACCTGGTGGCCAACTACAAGTTTTGTCTGACCTCTGTGATTGCCAACAAGGGTTTTGCCACCAAGTACTAAGTCATGTTTTGCAGAGGGGTCAAATACTTATTTCCCTCATTAAAATGCAAATCAATTTATAAAATTTTTGACATGCGTTTTTCTGGATATTTTTGTTGTTATTCTGTCTCTCACTGTTCAAATAAATCTACCATTAAAATTATAGACTGATCATGTCTTTGTCAGTGGGCAAACGTACAAAATCAGCAGGGGATCAAATACTTTTTTTCCCTCACTGTATGTATTTGGGAGCGAACAACATAAGGAGAAAAGGACATAATCAATGTCTGAAATATGTTTCTGCAGGCGTGAGATGATGCCCCTTCTGTCGTTGATATTCTCTGCCTTATTCATCCTGTTTGGCACTGTGGTGGTTCAGGCCTTCAGGTAAGATGGAGGAACAGTGTGATTCTGCTACTCAAACACATTACCTTGAGGGAAACTGTTTGTTTAGGCTTACCGTTCTGCTTTGTGGGATTTCAGTGACTCTAGTGAAGATGGCAAATCCAAACCCAAGGCAAAAGAAGGAGCCAAGGCAGAAAATGGGTCACCGGGTAGCAGCAGCACCTCAAGGCAAGACAGCATTTTATATTTTAAGCTATATTGAAAATATTCAAGCTGTGACTAAAATGTTTTGTTTTAACTATCTGACATATTTTACAGATTACATTTAGCTTTTCAGTGATGTCAACGCAATAAATAAAAATGAGTGGTTCAGTGGTTCTACTTTTTATTTACATTTTATAGTCGCCCACCGAAGAAGAACTTTGTGGAGGTGACGGAGCTGACAGACATCACATACACCAGTAACCTGGTGAAGCTGAGGCCAGGCCATATGAACGTGGTACTGGTGCTCACTGACACCACCAAGAACGTCTTACTCAGCAAGTTCGCCAAAGAGGTCTACTCTTTCACCGGGTGAGGGCAGGATATGATCCCACATGGTCTGGTGCTTGAGGTGCAATACACATACATTAAATGATGTATGTTTTGTGCTTATAACATGAATATTTATATGTGGAATGGTGAACGCAACTGCCGTTTTATATTCACTTTCATTATAAATGCTTATACATGTTTAAAGTGTTACCAACATAACATGTCCTCTCCTCTTGTCACTACAGGAGCCTGGCTCTGCACTTTTCCTTCCTGAACGTGGACAAGCACAGTGCATGGATGGGAACACTGTTGGAGTTTGCCCAGGATGCCATACAGATAGACACCGAAGAGGATGACGGCGCCCGCCACAAAATAGACTACACAGGCTACGTGCTGGCACTCAATGGCCATAAGAAGTACCTCTGCCTCTTCAAGCCTGTCTACACCGGGGAGGAAGGCGGGTCCTCCGAGGAGGAAGGGCCTGGGGGCGCCACTGGGGGAGGGAAGAGGTCTAGGTCTAGGTCCAGGGATGATCACCCACCACGCAGGTCTACGCCCAGGTCCCGCTCCACCGCCACACTGCAGATCCACCACAAACTGGACCGCCTGGGGCTGTGGATGGAGAGGCTTATGGAGGGAACCCTGCCCCGGTACTACATCCCTGCCTGGCCTGGCCTGGACAAGATCACAGGCCCCAAATAGAAATGGTGTCAATTACCTATACTATACGTTGATGTGAAAAATATCAAAAAAAAGATATGCTTGGAAGTTTGAGAGGCATTGCATGCACACATCCCAAGTCAGGATACAGGCCTAAATGGACACGTACCAAAGACACGTACCAAAGCTATCTGTGTCTAAAAGCCAAGATGCCGAGGTATCCTTATGGCTGTGTTCAGGGGGAGGAGGCTACTGTATGTTTTGAGTGATTGCCCTGGGACATGGTTTAAAGAAATTACTTTCAATAGTGAGGTTGGCTTGGCTCATTGCGACAACTGGACTACATTTATCTGCCATCATGTTCTGCTGGAGTTAGAGCTGCCTTTTTTGCACTTGAAATATTTATTTGTTACGGAAGTACTTTAAAAGTAGGATCAGTAAAAGAGGGAGGGTAAAGACTATGGTGGATCTCAAAGCAACAACTGTTGAACAATTCCAAGATTGCTTTCCCTTTCGGATCCCTTCCTCTGCATGCTGTTATTAGTTAGCTACTTAGTTCTAATATCTGCTGCTGTTACAACGTCTAGATGAGCTAACTTTATCACTGTGGTCATAAGTAGAATCCTGCCTTTTTATAACCGTCATCCATCATTATTCAAATATCTAATCTATCAGATTGTGCTTTGATATTAGCTTCACTGTCCCAATGGTGATTGGTCAGTACTGTGAATAGAGATGCATGTCTCTACTAGATCTATTTTCTTCACCATTTTGACCTCACACAAAATAATATGTTTTATTCTTGTGCAATATATACTGTAACTACAATGCCTTCCATTTCTCCTTGGCTGCTAATATTTCATGTTCATTCTTATTCATGTAGAAATAGGCTATTTAATAACATCTATATAACGTTATACTTTAGCATTTTGTTACATGACCAAGCTTTTTGCATTAGTCTAGTTTACGTGAAAGAGAAACCCACACACTGCTCTTGCTAGTATCACTGTTCTTTATTAGGCTTTACGTATCATCCTCTTGGCCTTCCTCAGAGCTTTTTTTAGTTTTACAACAAAACTTGGCCAGTGGCTTCATTTAGCAATGATATAGTCTATGTTGGAGAATGGACAACATTTCATGCGACATTATCGGATTTATTTTGAAATAGATAAGGGCAGAGCGAATAGAAAGTAAAAAACTAAACTTAATTGTGCTTAACCCAAATTAATTTACAAACATTAAACTAATATTGTTGTCATGACAGTAATTTAGTTGGATTTGGAAATGCTGTACATTTTCTACCTTCTACCATGTCATCTGTACATATATTAACGTCATACTGTAATATATAAAATATTTGTTGTTTTTACATGGATTTATTATAATAATGTGGTCAAGTCATTCATCAATACTGTTTGTTCTGTTAGATTCTAAATAAACAGAGTAAAACTCATGGACGACTAGTAAAGCTCAAACCAAGTTGAATCACCCACTGGGTTACACAGCTGCATAAGACAAAGACATGTTTACAGAAGCACATACAGTGGGGAGAACAAGTATTTGATACACTGCCGATTTTGCAGGTTTTCCTACTTACAAAGCATGTAGAGGTCTGTAATTTTTATCATAGGTACACTTCAACTGTGAGAGACAGTATCTAAAACAAAAATCCAGAAAATCACATTGTTTGATTTTTAAGTAATTAATTTGCATTTTATTGCATGACATAAGTATTTGATACATCAGAAAAGCAGAACTTAATATTTGGTACAGAAACCTTTGTTTGCAATTACAGAGATCATACGTTTCCTGTAGGTCTTGACCAGGTTTGCACAAACTGCAGCAGGGATTTTGGCCCACTCCTCCATACAGACCTTCTCCAGATCCTTCAGGTTTCGGGGCTGTCGCTGGGCAATACAGACTTTCAGCTCCCTCCAAAGATTTTCTATTGGGTTCAGGTCTGGAGACTGGCTAGGCCACTCCAGGCCCTTGAGATGCTTCTTACGGAGCCACTCCTTAGTTGTCCTGGCTGTGTGTTTTGGGTCGCTGTCATGCTGGAAGACCCAGCCACGACCCATCTTCAATGCTCTTACTGAGGGAAGGAGGTTGTTGGCCAAGATCTCGCGATACATGGCCCCATCCATCCTCCCCTCAATACGGTGCAGTCGTCCTGTCCCCTTTGCAGAAAAGCATCCCCAAAGAATGATGTCTACACCTCCATGCTTCACGGTTGGGATGGTGTTCTTGGGGTTGTACTCATCCTTCTTCTTCCTCCAAACACGGCGAGTGGAGTTTAGACCAAAAAGCTCTATTTTTGTCTCATCAGACCACATGACCTTCTCCCATTCCTCCTCTGGATCATCCAGATGGTCATTGGCAAACTTCAGACGGGCCTGGACTTGCGCTGGCTTGAGCAGGGGGACTTTGCATGCGCTGCAGGATTCTGGTTGGTAGGTGATCAAATACTTATGTCATGCAATAAAATGCAAATTAATTACTTAAAAATCATACAATGTGATTTTCTGGATTTAGATTTCATCTTTCACAGTTGAAGTATACCTATGATAAAAATTACAGACCTCTACATGCTTTGTAAGTAGGAAAACCTGCAAAATTGGCAGTGTATCAAATACTTGTTCTCCCCACTGTATGGTGTGATCACCACCTGTTTAAAAACAAACAAAATTAAATGTAGCCTATATAGTTAAACATTACAACAAATGGATCTTGAGTGCTTCATGTCAAAACATTGTAACAGTAACCTTTGTCCTATAACTGTCAAGAAGGTTAATAAACATGACAAATATGAATCATTCGACATTAGCCTAAATGTGTGACAAAAAGAAGCAGCAGGTGTTGTTTTGAGGAACATCTGAAAGGTAAACTGAATACTGCTGAACTGCAGTTAGTAGGCCTTTGCTATAATGTACAAAATCACATCTCAGATCGCATAGCGCAGAAAGTGGTGCTCCTCTTCATCCATGTTAAGGTAGATAAAGCCCGTAACCAGGATTGTACGGTAGGCTTCCTGCTTTCGTCCTTTAGGTCATACACGTTGACATCCCCGATATCAGTCACCATCAGAGACTCATAGGGGACTGTCCGGGTGCAACTGTTGTAGGCCCTCAACACGGCAGACTCTGCTCTGATCTGACGACGGCCAAATCTGTAAAGGACCATGCATTGTCCTACTTTTATATAACATTGGTTGTAACAAGCACAATTTGTTTGACACGAGTGAGAAAGTTCGACACACAAATATCAACCCCCCCCCCCAAAAAAAATATGCTAATCTCTCAACATTACAATAACAGGGGAGGTTAGCATTTTCTTTGGGGGGTGGTGGGATGATATTTGTGTCTAACTTTCTCACTCATCATTATTCACGATTCATTCAGATTTATCCGTAATCATGGTAGCATCCACATTATTGTAGAAGTGTTTAGAAACATTATATTCTTATTTACAATAAAAGTGACTCCAAAATGACACAATACATTATTTACCATTAATTTCTATTGGGGACAAAATAATCGGAAACAACCAACACAAACAGCAAATGCATCCAACACATTTTTAGAGTCACAAGCTTCATGTAGTTATTGCGTGCTATGAATATGGGACCAAATACTTAACTTTTTACTACTTGAATACACAAGTGAATTTGTTCACCCGATATGCATGAAAATACCCTCAAATTAAAGCTGACAGTCTTTAACCTTATAGTCATTGTATCATTTTAAATCCAAAGTGCTGGAGTACAGAGCCAAAACAACAACAAATGTGTCACCGTCCCAATACTTCTAGAGCGCACTGTATTTGTTTCCTGAAAGCTCTACACACATGGGTGGAGATGGAGAGAAACTATTTTGACATTTATTTAAATTTTTTAAGGAGAATTCAAGGATTTTATATTGGTGGGTTCCCACAACTTCACAGAGTGACCTTTCTCTTCCATTTCCACCCTTCGTACCACATTCACCAAGGTCAAACTTAACAGGCTCTGCCCTGTTCTCGTCCATACATGAGGAAGTGGATAGCCAATCGGAGGTCTTCCAGGTCCACGTTCGACAGGAAGCACCTCTGTAGCTCTGCCTCAACCGAGCTCCCGCTGGGCACGCAGCCCCTCAGGAGCACCACGGCAGACTGGCACAGCAGCCAATCAGCTAACGTCTTCATACCAGTGCTGTCCTGATTGGCCAAGGCCCGCCTTCCCAAGATGCTGAGATGCATCATGTTGGCAGGCACTCTGGCACTGGGGTGCTGCAGAGAAACAACAATATGAGCATTCAGGGCATATCTCTGATACCTCTGATAATGTAATGGCTTTGCATACTAAGCAGCAAACCCTCATTTACTGAACGGAATACTGAAAACAAATGTATCTGGTTTATCTAACAAATACACTGAATGGCTGAGAAATCGTTATGAAGTCATCTTTAATACACCCTTCAATTAAGTAAAGGTTTGAAAATTCTAGTTAGACTCCTACCTTATTGGGGTTCCTACACAGGAGCAGCCTGACCACTAGCTGCATGTCAGCACACACACTGGCAGGCAGGGCAGGGAGCTGCTTCTCCTGGAAACTCCTGCTTTCCAGCCCCCCTGCTCCATAGAACAGGTTGGCCTGGCCAACTATCTCATAGGAAATGGCATCAACAGCCCTAGCATCTGCCTTGCTGTAATTGATTACCACTCCCACGCTTGGAACTGCAGTAGCCACCTTTGGAGAGAGCAAGGATGAAAAGATATTCAGCAACTCCTGGTAGGACAATCAAAGTTTGCTTAAAAAATTGAGAGATAGAAGGGATTTATAGAAGGTAGGGATGACACCATTTAGTCGACAGGCTGTTGGTCGACCACTATGTTTTTATTCGAGCAGTCGCAAACATATACACTACCGTTCAAAAGTTTGGGGTCGCTTAGAAATGTCCTTGTTTTCGAAAGAAAAGCATTTTTTTGGTCCATTAAAATAACATCAAATTGATCAGAAATACAGTGTAGACATTGTTAATGTTGTAAATGGCTATTGTAGCTGGAAATGGCTGATTTTTTATGTAATATCTACATAGGCGTACAGAGGCCCATTATCAGCAACCATCAGTCCTGTGTTCCATTGGCAGCTTCATTCAATAGTACCCACAAAACACCAGTCTCAATGTCAACAGTGAAGAGGCGACTCCGCGATGCTGACCTTCTAGGCAGAGTTGCAAAGAAAAAGCCATATCTCAAACTGGCCAATAAAAATTAAAGATTAAGATGGGCAGTCTGAGATATGGCTTTTTCTTTGCAACGCTGCCTAGAAGGTAAGCATCCTGGAGTCGCCTCTTCACTGTTGACATTGAGACTGGTGTTTTGAGGGTACTATTTAATGAAGCTGCCAGTTGGAGGACCTTGAGGCGCCTGTTTCTCAAACTAGACACTAATGTATTTGTCCTCTTGCTCAGTTGTGCACCGGGGCCTCCCACTCCTCTTTCTATTCTGGTTAGAGCCAATTTGCGCTGTTCTGTGAAGGGAGTAGTACACAGCGTTGTACGAGATCTTCAGTTTCTTGGCAATTTCTCACATGGAATAGCCTTCATTTCTCAGAACAAGAATAGACTGACGAGTTTCAGAAGAAAGTTATTTGTTTCTGGCCATTTTGAGCCTGTAATCGAACCCACAATTGCTGATGTTCCAGATACTCAACCTTTCTCAAGAAGGCCAGTTTTATTGCTTCTTTAATCAGCACAACAGTTTTCAGCTGTGCTAACATAATTGCAAAAGGGTTTTCTAATGATCAATAAGCCTTTTAAAATGATAAACTTGGATTAGCAATCACAATGTGCCATTGGAACACACTAGAAGACCAGTTCTTAAAGCTATTAGCCGTATCCTTATTCTACTCCTCCTCTGTTCCTCTGGTGATGTAGAGGTTAACCCAGGCCCTGTAGCCCCCAGTATCACTCCTACTCCCCAGGCGTTATCATTTGTTGACTTCTGTAACCGTAAAAGCCTTGGTTTCTTGCACGTTAACATCCGAAGCCTCCTCCCTAAGTTTGAGTTATTCACTGCGTTAGCACACTCCGCCAACCCTGATGTTCTGGCAGTGTCTGAATCCTGGCTTAGGAAGGCCACCAAAAATTCTGAAATTTCCATCCCCAACTACAACATTTTCCATCTTGATAGAACTGCCAAAGGGGGTGGGGTTGCAATCTACTGTAGAGATAGCCTGCAGAGCTCTATCATACTATCCAGGTCTGTGCCCAAACAGTTTGAGCTTCTACTTCTAAAAATCCACCTTTCCAGAAATAAGTCCTCACTGTTGACGCTTGCTACAGACCCCCCTGTGCCCTGGACACCATATGTGAACTGATAGCCCCCCATCTATCCTCAGAGTTCGTACTGCTTGGTGACCTAAACTGGGATATGCTTAACACCCCGGGCCAACCTACAATCTAAACTAGATGCCCTCAATCTCACACAAATTATCAACGAACCTACCAGGTACAACCCAAAATCTGTCAACATGGGCACCCTCATAGATATCATCCTGACAAATGTACCCTCTAAATACACCTCCGCTGTCTTCAACCAGGATCTCAGCGATCACTGCCTTATTGCCTGCATCCGTAATGGGTCCGCGGTCAAACGACCACCCCTCATCACTGTCAAACGCTCCCTAAAACACTTTAGCGAGCAGGCCTTTCTAATTGACCTGGCCCGGGTATCCTGGATGGATATTGACCTCATTCCGTCAGTAGAGGATGCCTGGTTGTTCTTTAAAAGTGCTTTCCTCTCAATCTTAAATAAGCAAGCCCCATTCAAAAAATTCAGAACTAAGAACAGATATAGCCCCTGGTTCTCCTCAGACTTGACTGCCCTTGACCAGCACAAAAACATCCTGTGGCGTACTGCATTAGCATCGAACAGCCCCCACGATATGCAACTTTTCAGAGGAGTCAGGAACCAATATACACAATCAGTTAGAAAAGCAAAGGCTAGCTTTTTCAAACAGAAATTTGCATCCTGTAGCACTAACTCCAAAACGTTTTGGGACACCGTAAAGTCCATGGAGAATAAGAGCACCTCCTCCCAACTGCCCACTGCACTGAGGCTAGGAAACACTGTCACCACCGATAAATCTACAATAATCAAGAATTTCAACAAGCATTTTGCCACGGCTGGCCATGCTTTGCACCTGGCTACCACTACCCCCGGCCACCAGCTCTGCACCCTCCGCTGCAACTTGCCCATGCCCCCCCCCCCCCCCCGCTTCGCCTTCATACAAATCAGACAGCTGATGTTCTGAAAGAGCTGAAAAATCTGGACCCCTAAAAATCAGCTGGGCTAGACAATCTGGACCCTTTCTAAAATTAGCCGCCGAAATTGTCGCAACCCCTATTACTAGCCTGTTCAAACTGTCTTTCGTAACGTCTGAGATCCCCAGAGATTGGAAAGCTGCCGCGGTCATCCCCCTCCTCAAAGGGGGTGACACTCTAGATCCAAACTGTTACAGACCTATATCCATCCTGCCCTGCCTTTCGAAAGTATTTGAAAGCCAAGTTAACAAACAGATCACTGACCATTTCAAATCCCACCGTACCTTCTCCGCTATGCAATCCGGTGTCCGAGCTGGTCATGGGTGCACCTCAGCCACGCACAAGGTCCTAAACGATATTATAACCGCGATCGATAAAAGACAGTACTGCGCAGCCGTCTTCATCGACCTGGCCAAGGCTTTCGACTCTGTCAACCACTGCATTCTTATTGGCAGACTAAATAGCCTTGGTTTCTCAAATGACTGCCTCGCCTGGTTCACCAACTACTTCTCAGATAGAGTTCAATGTGTCAAATCGGAGGGCCTGTTGTCTGGACCTCTGGCAGTCTCTATGGGGGTGCCACAGGGTTCAATTCTCAGGCCGACTCTATTCTCTGTGTATATCAATGATGTTGCTCTTGCTGCTGGTGACCCTCGGATCCACCTCTATGCGGACGACACCATTTTGTATACATCTGGCCCTTCATTGGACACGGTGTTAACAAACCTCCAAACGAGCTTCAACGCCATACAACACTCCTTCCGTAGCCTCCAACTGCTCTTAAACACTAGTAAAACTAAATGTATGCTCTTCAACCGACTAGAATCACTACTCTCGGCGGGTCTGACCTAGAGTATGTGGACAACTACAAATACCTAGGTGTCTGGTTAGACAGTAAACTCTCCTTCCAGACTCACATTAAGCATCTCCAATCAAAAGTTACATCTAGAATCGGCTTCCTATTTCGCAACAAAGCCTCCTTCACTCATGCTGCCAAACATGCCCTCGTAAAACGGACTATCCTACCGATCATTTACAAAATAGCCTCCAACACTCTACTCAGCAAATTGGATGTAGTCTATCACAGTACCATCCGTTTTGTCACCAAAGCCCCATATACTACCCACCATTGTGACCTGTACGCTCTTGTTAGCTGGCCCTCACTACATATTCGTTGCCAAACCCACTGGCTCCAGGTCATCTATAAATCACTGCTAGGCAAATCCCCGTCTTATCTTAGCTCACTGGTCACCATAGCAACACCTACCCGTAGTCTGCGCTCCAGCAGGTATATCTCACTGGTCATCCCCAAAGCCAACACCTCCTTTGGCCGCCATTCCTTCCAGTTCTCTGCTGCCAATGACTGGAACAAACTGCAAAAATCTCTGAAGCTGGAGACTCATATCTCCCTCATTAACTTTAGGCGTCAGTTGTCAGAGCAGCTTACCGATCACTGCACCTGTACACAGCCCATCTGCAATTAGCCCATCCAACTACCTCATCCCCATATTGTTATTATTTTGGTAATTTGCACCCCATATCTCTATTTGCACATCATCTTTTGCACATCTATCATTCCAGTGTTAATACGAAATTGTAACTATTTTGCACTATGGCCTATTTATTGCCTTACCTCCATAATTTAGTACATTCGCACACACTGTATATATATTTTCTGTTGTATTTTTGACTTTATGTTTTGTTTACCCCATATGTAACTCTGTGTTGTTGTTTTTAATCGCACTGCTTTGCTTTATCTTGGCCAGGTCGCAGTTGTAAATGAGAACTTGTTCTCAACTGGCTTACCTGGTTAAATAAAGGTGAACAAAAATATAAATAAAAAAATCCCTGAAAGAAAGTGAACAAGTGCACACTTCAGGGGAAAGAACAGAGGATTAAGTCTCGACAGACACCCACCCCAAAGTTCCACATCATCTTGACAGCTAGAGGGTAGATGCCCAGGGAGCATGAGGGGCTCCTCAGAGACCCAGTGGCCACCTCTCCTTCATCTCCACTGGGCTGGTCCTTCAGCTCCACCAGGGAACACTGGTCACTCTCCCTGTCCCTGGGCACAGCGAATGGATCTGCAGCCTCATACACTGCAGTGTTGGAGCCTTTTCCTATCTGCTTCCCAATAACGTAGTCCTCCAGCTTGTATCCTGAGGCAAAGGACTTGAGGAAACTGGGGAACTTCTTCTTGCTAAACACAGCCTTAAGAGAAGAGGTGACATTTATTAGACCTAGTTCATGACTGAATTTGGCTTTGCAATTACATTTTATTGTACTAAATGTCATACTTCCCTTTGATAGTTCACAAATTGTAGATAGAACTTCTACATCAACTTGTAACTATTAAAAATATTGCCTAGTCAGACCATTACTTTGTACCAGCTGTCTGATAGGCGTTATTAGATAGGCACTTTTTGGCGGCCAACCTTATTAACTTGTTGATACTTCCTCAATTCCAGACTTGGAAGACAACCAATGTCTTCTAAACGTCCATGTCTAGTTGCACAGGGTTTGTTTGAATTTAGAAAATGCTCCTTTATTAAATTAAATCAATGTTTTCCTCCATGAAGTAATCCAACAACGTGTACGCCACAATCTTGTCCATTTTAAATCTTCTCTCAATGACTGAGACTGGTGGGCATTTTCTAAATTTAAAGTAACCCCCTGCAACTAGACATTGGTTGTCTTCCAAGTCGGGAATAGAGGAAGTATGATCAAGTTAAGGTTGGTCGAAAATTCTCTGTGCTACGCCAAACAGTACCTAACCTGTACGGCTAATTGAGCATCACATTAGCCCTTTACAATCTGTTAGTTAATCAACTTCCTGCCTAGCTAAGACTTAACTCCAGTGTTCGATCCATTTCAGTGATCTTACCACTGAGCTAGGCTATAATAACTACAGCTATTTTATATATATATATATATATATATATTTGTTTACAGCTACTTGCTGCCTAAATCCATGTTGTTGTTTACCTGGATTTCCTGGCATGTCCCAGCACTACTTTTGTCATCCTCGAGCTGTGGTTCGATCAAACCCACCCCGAGACCAAAAGTATCACTTTGTTTCTTGGCGAGCCGCTGACCCCAAACCTCCTGAAACCCCCAGACTGCTGCTACGCAGCAATACCCATCAACGACATGCGGAAATATCGGTACCGAACTGGCAGGAAAGTTGAGGCTGAACGGTGCAGGCCGTTTGGCTTACGAAGACGCTCACCTTGGAACTTTGCTGCAAGTCGGCCAACATGTTTGAGGAGACCTAGCTGGAAAACCGACCGACCGTCCTAACTCCACCCCACTGCTGATGGCATGTTTTACAGACATGCTTTACCAATAAATGGTACATTTCGCGATGTTTAGACTTTCTCCGTCAGTCCTCGTCGTTCATAAGATACACAAGGACAAATCGTTATGTAAACAAACTAGAACAGACAGAAGCGCCCTTGTTAGTGTCACGTGACGTTCTTTGTTACTGGAACCATTTTAGAATTAAAGAGACAGTGCGACAATTACAATTTTACCGGCGTCAGCAAATTATGCAAATAGGCCTAAAAACTATCAAAACTTTACACAATTGTCCTAAAGCACTTTAATATTCTTGAGTAATACATAAAGTATTTTTTAACATTGATACTTCAAACACTTCCAATCATACACATAATGTGAATGTGAGCTGTGTAGCAAAAGAATATTTGATGTAATCTACTGTTCAAACACTTGTTAGAAAACACATTGAGACGTTTTACTAATTTCTGAGGCGCAAATCAATATCCACTGGCATTATTCAACTAATAAATTGTATAGTAGTCCTATTGGAAATCTAACATTCTTCATGTATGTGGTTAGGGGTTATTGACATTTCATGGACTTGTAATGCTGTTATGAATGATTCTTGTTTTTCCTCTTGTCTTGTGAATACTATTATGACCCATTCTGTGTGGTGAACATTCTCTTTTTCTTCAGGTCTTCAGGCCCAAATGACACAGGAAGCAGGTCTTCTACAGTCATTTCCACATAAGACCCATCAGGCTTGGATAGGTACACGGACCACTGATCACCAAACTACAAGGGAAAAGTTAGTTGGATTACTTGAGGTTGTTCCATTATAGTTGGATGGCTTTGTGATGCTCCATTAATTTTAAAACCACCGTAGATTTAGGTTTCCTGGATTAGACCTTGGTTCCATTATCAATGCAGAGTAAATCCATTTGAATTCAATCACTTTTTGACAGCACCCCTTTTGATTTAAACAAAACTTTCCATACATGTTTTCTCATGGTAGAAGTGGTCAGAAAGTGACTTTTTGGACCTGAGTGCCAAAACATTAGAGGTGCTCAAAGTTGACCCATTTTGCATACCCCACCATACCATGAGACAACCATGTCTTCATTACTGGAAAATATAAATGGTTGAGTTTGATATAATTTAAAAGCTTACAAATAGCGTTGTCAAACTATTTTCTAATTTCTTGAAAAAAATGTTTTAACAGAAAAAGTATGACATTTTTTAACCTTTAACGTCAATTATCTAAAAACGCGTAAGCTCATTTCAATCATAGCAATATCATTAATAGAATTGACCTATCCCTTCAGACCACTGCAATTTAGCTGGTACACCATTGACATTTATATTGAATAGACATTTTAACTTCTAATTACTACCACAAAGATGGCTGCCGGTCCACTCACCATCGAATGTCAACATAAAAATGGTCATGTCAATTCCATTATCTACAGTGGGGGAAAAAAGTATTTAGTCAGCCACCAATTGTGCAAGTTCTCCCACTTAAAAAGATGAGAGAGGCCTGTAATTTTCATCATAGGTACACGTCAACTATGACAGACAAAATGAGGAAAATAAATCCAGAAAATCACATTGTAGGATTTTTTATGAATTTATTTGCAATTTATGGTGGAAAATAAGTATTTGGTCAATAACAAAAGTTTCTCAATACTTTGTTATATACCCTTTGTTGGCAATGACACAGGTCAAAAGTTTTCTGTAAGTCTTCATAAGGTTTTCACACACTGTTGCTGGTATTTTGGCCCATTCCTCCATGCAGATCTCCTCTAGAGCAGTGATGTTTTGGGGCTGTCGCTGGGCAACACAGACTTTCAACTCCCTCCAAAGATTTTCTATGGGGTTGAGATCTGGAGACTGGCTAGGCCACTCCAGGACCTTGAAATGCTTCTTACAAAGCCACTCCTTCGTTGCCCGGGCGGTGTGTTTGGGATCATTGTCATGCTGAAAGACCCAGCCACGTTTCATCTTCAATGCCCTTGCTGATGGAAGGAGGTTTTCACTCAAAATCTCACGATACATGGCCCCATTCATTCTTTCCTTTACACGGATCAGTCGTCCTGGTCCCTTTGCAGAAAAACAGCCCCAAAGCATGATGTTTCCACCCCCATGCTTCACAGTAGGTATGGTGTTCTTTGGATGCAACTCAGCATTCTTTGTCCTCCAAACACGACGAGTTGAGTTTTTACCAAAAAGTTCTATTTTGGTTTCATCTGACCATATGACATTCTCCCAATCCTCTTCTGGATCATCCAAATGCACTCTAGCAAACTTCAGACGGGCCTGGACATGTACTGGCTTAAGCAGGGGGACACGTCTGTCACTGCAGGATTTGAGTCCCTGGCGGCGTAGTGTGTTACTGATGGTAGGCTTTGTTACTTTGGTCCCCGCTCTCTAGGTCCCCCCGTGTGGTTCTGGGATTTTTGCTCACCGTTCTTGTGATCATTTTGACCCCACAGGGTGAGCTCTTGCGTGGAGCCCCAGATCGAGGGAGATTATCAGTGGTCTTGTATGTCTTCCATTTCCTAATAATTGCTCCCACAGTTGATTTCTTCAAACCAAGCTGCTTACCTATTGCAGATTCAGTCTTCCCAGCCTGGTGCAGGTCTACAATTTTGTTTCTGGTGTCCTTTGACAGCTCTTTGGTCTTGGCCATAGTGAAGTTTGGAGTGTGACTGTTTGAGGTTGTGGACAGGTGTCTTTTATACTGATAACAAGTTCAAACAGGTGCCATTAATACAGGTAACGAGTGGAGGACAGAGGAGCCTCTTAAAGAAGAAGTTACAGGTCTGTGAGAGCCAGAAATCTTGCTTGTTTGTAGGTGACCAAATACTTATTTTCCACCATAATTTGCAAATAAATTCATAAAATATCCTACAATGTGATTTTCAGGATTTTTTTCCCTCAATTTGTCTGTCATAGTTGACGTGTACCTATGATGAAAATTAAAAGCCTCTCTCATCTTTTTAAGTGGGAGAACTTGCACAATTGGTGGCTGACTAAATACTTTTTTCCCCACTGTATATTTTTACATTTACATTTTTTAGTCATTTAGCAGACGCTCTTATCCAGAGCGACTTACAGTTAGTGAATACATATTTTTTTATACTGCCCCCCCGTAGGAATCGAACCCACAACCCTGGCGTTGCAAACGCCATGCTCTATCAACTGAGCTACATCCCTGCCGGCCATTCCCTCCCCTACCCTGGACGAATTGTGCGCCTCCCATGAGTCTCCCGGTCACGGCCGGCTGCGACAGAGCCTGGATTCGAACCAGGATCTCTAGTGGCACAGTTAGCACTGCGATGCAGTGCCTTAGACCACTGCGCCACTCATGGTTTCCATAGGTTTCCTATGGAGGATTGACAGTATAATTTAAAGCAACAGATATTCCCATTCAGGTCAACATTCTCTGATGTGTGGACGTCCAACCATCTTTGTGTAAAAAACATGCGAATATGAAAAAAAATGGAGTTATCGCGTTTTTAGTTAATTTACGTTTAGTATCACAATATGAACTATTTTATAATTTAGTTTAGAAAACGTTTAATATACAGTACCAGTGAAAAGTTTGGACACACCTACTCATTCAAGGGTTTTTCTTTTTTGTTAATTTTTACTATTTTCTACATTGTTGAATAATAGTGAAGACATGAAATAACACATATTGAATCATGTAGTAACCAAAAAAGTGTTAAAGAAATCAAAATATATTTTGTATTTGAGATTCTTCAAATAGCCAACCTTTGCCTTGATGACAGCTTTGCACACTCTTGGCATTCTCTCAACTAGCTTCATGAGGTAGTCACCTGGAATGCATTTCAATTAACAGGTGTGCCTTCTTAAAAGTTAATTTGTGGAATTTCTTTCCTTCTTAATGCGTTTGAGCCAATCAGTTGTGTTGTGACAAGGTGGGGGTGTATACAGAAGATAGCCCTATTTGGTAAAAGACCAAGTCCATGTTATGACAAGAACAGCTCAAATAAGCAAAGAGAAACGACAATCCATCATTACTTTAAGACATGAAGGTCAGTCAAAACGGAACATGTCAAGAACTTTGAACGTTTCTTCAAGTGCAGTCGCAAAAACCATCAAGCGCTATGATGAAACTGGCTCTCATGAGGACCGCCACAGGAATGGAAGACCCAGAGTTACCTCTGCTGCAGAGGATAAGTTCATTAGAGTTACCAGCCTCAGAAATTGCAGCCCAAATAAATGCTTCACAGAGTTGAAGTAACAGACACATTTCAACATCAACTGGCCGTCATGGTCGAATTGCTGCAAAGAAACCACTACTAAAGGACACCAATAATAAGAAGAGACTTGCTTGGGCCAAGAAACACGAGCAATGGACATTAGACTATGGAAATGTATCCTTTGGTCTGGAGTCCAAATTTTTGATTTTTGGTTCCAGCCACCGTGTCTTTGTGAGACGCGTTGTGGGTGAATGAATGATCTCTGCATGTGTATTTCCCACCATAAAGCATGCAGGAGGAGGTGTTATGGTGTGGGGGTGCTTTGCTGGTGACACTGTCTGTGATTTATTTAGAATTCAAGGTACACTTAACCAGCATGGCTACCACAGCATTCTGCAGCGATACGCCATCCCATCTGGTTTGGGCTTAGTGGGACTATCATTTGTTTTTCAACAGGACAATGACCCAACATACCTCCAGGCTGTGTAAGGGCTATTTTACCAAAAAGGAGAGTGATGGAGTGCTGCATCAGATGACCTGGCCTCCACAATACCCCTACCTCAACCCAATTGAGATGGTTTGGGATGAGTCGGATCGCAGAGTGAAGGAAAAGCAGCCAACAATGCTCAGCATATGTGGGAACTCCTTCAAGACGGTTGGAAAAGCATTCTAGGTGAAGCTGGTTGAGAGAATGCCAAGAGTGTGCAAACCTGTCATCAAGGCAAAGGGTGGCTATTTGAAGAATCTCAAATCTCAAATATATGTTGATGTGTTTAACACTTTTTTGCTTACTACATGATTCCATAGGTGTTATTTCATAGTTTTGATGTCTTCACTATTATTCTACAATGTAGGAGGAGGAGGAATGCTGCCTATGACCCCAAGAACACCATCCCCACCGTCAAACATGGAGGTGGAAACATTATGCTTTGGGGGTGTTTTTCTGCTAAGGGGACAGGACAACTTCACCGCATCAAAGGGACGATGGACGGGTCCATGTACCGTCAAATCATGGGTGAGAACCTCCTTCCCTCAGCCAGGGCATTGAAAATGGATCGTGGATGGGTATTCCAGCATGACAATGACCCAAAACACACGGCCAAGGCAACAAAGGAGTGGCTCAAGAAGAAGCACATTAAGGTCCTGGAGTGGCCTAGCCAGTCTCCAGACCTTAATCCCATAGAAAATCTGTGGAGGGAGCTGAAGGTTCGAGTTGCCATATGTCAGCCTCGAAACCTTAATGACTTGGAGAAGATCTGGAAAGAGAAGTGGAAGAAAATCCCTCCTGAGATGTGTACAAACCTGGTGGCCAACTACAAGAAATGTCTGACTTCTGTGATTGCCAACAAGGGTTTTGCCAGCAAGTACTAAGTCATGTTTTGCAGAGGGGTCAAATACTTATTTCCCTCATTAAAATGCAAATCAATTTATTACATTTTTGACATGCGTTTTTCTGGATTTTTATGTTGTTATTCTGTCTCTCACTGTTCAAATAAACATACCATTAAAATGATAGACTGATCATGTCTTTGTCAGTGTTCAAACATACAAAATCAGCAGGGGATCAAATACTTTTTTCCCTCACTGTATATATATATAAAAGTGTTTTAAAAAACGAAATGATCAAATAGTTTTATAACTCTGTTTGTAAGCTTTTAAATGATATCAATCTCAACCGTTTATCTTTTCCAGTGATGATGAAGACATGGATGGCTCATGGTGGGGTATGCAAATTAGGTGAACTTTGAGCTACTTCATCTCTTCAATGTTTTGGCATTCAGGTCCAGAAAGTCACTTTCTGAGTACTTCTACAATTAGCAAATATCTATGGAATGTTTTGTTCAAATCAAAAGGGGGTGCTGTCAAAAAGTTATGGAATTTAAATGATTTTTACCATGCAATCATTCACAGATCTAAGTTGCATGAATAATTGACTTACCTCTCGCATGAACTGTCTGCAACCTCCACATGGTGAGATGAACTGGTCTTCCAGGTCACTACAAAATCAATCATATCATTAACAACATTACCCCCAATGGTGTTTTTCAGTACTGTGTGTTAACCAATATATTTATGTTGACAATAATTGTATACAGTGTAGTAGTATTTAAACCCTTCAGGAAGATAATTTGATAGGAGTAGAATGTTTTAACCATCTACACACTCTGAGGGGCAGCAAAACCCAGTGAACTCCAACAATTTCATATAAAAGTGTAATGTAATCTGATGAACTCAACAGGACAAAATATAACTGAATCAATAACTGTTTTTGATCAACTGTTGTTTACTCGGAAACAAAGCAAAGTTCAGGAATACTGCACCTGGCAATGGCAATAGCCTTAAAACTTCTGTATCCCTCGGAAACAGCTTTTGCAATAGCTGTTCTCTCTGCACAGAGACCAAGGTTGTAGCTTGCATTTTCTACATTGCATCCTGTTTAGAAAAAAGGAGGATACTTTAGTTAATGTTTTCTGCATTCGTAAGTGCTCCTGGAATCTCTGGAATGGTATCAAATCAAATACAGAACACGTCTTCATCCTTAAAGCTATAAAAGTATTTTAATGAATCTCAATGATCATTCTTGATTCAGATAACACTCAGAGGGTTCAATTTGATGCTGCTAAGGGCAGTCTGACTGTCATATATTGTTATTGACGTTCATACTGTATTACCTGCACTAAACAGGAATGTAGATACATCTATTTGTAAATCTCTGGACTGGTCATACAGGCTGATTTTTTTTTTTTACATTAACATTTTAGTCATTTAGCAGACACTCTTATCCAGCAAATAGCGACTTATAGGAGCAGTTAGGGTTGAGTGCCTTGCTCAAGGGCACATCGACAGATTTTTCACCTTTCAACCTTTCGGTTACTGGCCCAACGCTGTTATCCGCTAGGCTACCTGCCTCACCTGCCCCACCCTCCAACCTCCAACCCTCTCTGGCAGGATTAACCATAAACAATCTAAATGCTAATGTGTCAAAAATATTTTACAAATGAAAAAGGAAAACTATAAAATATGTACGTCTTGACCAGACCAATGTTATATAATTCAAAGCAAAACAGGAGAAAAATAGTATTAAAACAAGTTTAAAAAGAAAGAAAAAGAAAAAGCAAGCCTCCAGTGCTTGGGGGTTAGAATAGAATAGAAGAGTTAGTTCTGTAGAAAGCATTCAGTGCAAAATATACATGAGGTTGGATTCTTACTTTTAAATAAAGAAAATAAAGGCTGTGTCCACAGTGGACAAGAAGTTTGATTTACCATGCCTTTACTTTACTGGGGACTTGCAATGCAATCACTTCACATTGCAGTGCCAATGAATGCAACAAATGTAACATTGCCTTGGTCTTAATAACCAATGTCATAATATTGATACTAATAATTACTAAGTGCACAGTGAAATGAAAACATTGGCACCACTGACCGACCTGCACTGTAGTCAACATTGTGAGAACTTAATCTAACACCTAATACTTTTTCTTGGAACATATTAAAAACATAAAAAAGTATTCTGTCTGTGCAGTAGTTCAGCAGGCACAGGTGTGTTTGACAGCAAGCATATTTTTACCAATATTCAATCAGGAAAATGCTGTTTGTATCCACTGATGGTGGCCAGACCAGCCACTCTGACAACAAAAAACATTATAACTTATTATTCTCCTTTTAGTAATTCCATTCCTAAACAGAATACACCTATTCTAATTAATTGTTCATAACAATGTTATGAGCAGTCATGACTGCGCTGTAGGGCTTTATTCAAGCAATCTGAAGAGTTAAAGCAATACGCAACATACCAAATAAATCAATGGAACCATTTTATCAGCCCCCAACCCATGTCTTTATTATTATATTATTTGTAAGCCCCTCACCTGTAAAAATGGTTCCATCATGTGCCAACAGGGCTGCCCCCACCCGGAACATGCTGTAGGGACAGTAGGCAAACTCTTTGGCCCCCTGGGACTGGTGGATAAGAAGTTTAATCCAATCCTCGTCCTCTTCTTCACTCAAGTGATTCCTGGCTTCTGTGTCTGCTCCGTCGACCCTGAGCTCACCGATCCTGAGGTCTGTCATAACAATACTTTCTTTGTCAGTGTCTGTGTCGTATCTGTGTCCGTGTGAGAGTGTGTGTTGAGAGAGATATAAGAGGTAGAAATAGAGAGTGGATGGATTGACAGCTGTAGATAGAAAGCAGGTTTTTAAGAGCCACAAGTGGTGCTGTGTGTTTGGTGCCTGAACCCCCCCCCCCCCCCCCCCCCTCCCCACACGTGGTCTTGGTGGGTGGGAGGGGCACTGGCCTGGCTCTTTAGGGGAAGCCTAGCGTGTGTAATGACTTTTAAAGAGATCATTACCTTATAGGGTATTCCAACTTCCTGAATTTACTGAATTCAAATGGAATTGACCCCAACCCTAAACATTTCCTTACTCTGGCAAATTACTTTCATCTTAAAGTCGCTTTGGATAAAAGTGTCTGCTAAATGGCATATATTATATTATTATTATTATTAAACGGGTTAATTACATGATATAAATGCTATTGATGAGTCTTACAGTGCATTATACTTGCAGACTTTTAAGTACCAAACCTTTATAACTAATACATTATAATTGATTGATACAGTGGGGAAAAAAAGTATTTAGTCAGCCACCAATTGTGCAAGTTCTCCCACTTAAAAAGATGAGAGAGGCCTGTAATTTTCATCATAGGTAAACGTCAACTATGACAGACAAAATGATAAAAAAAATTATCCAGAAAATCACATTGTAGGATTTATAATGAATTTATTTGCAAATTATGGTGGAAAATAAGTATTTGGTCAATAACAAAAGTTTCTCAATACTTTGTTATATACCCTTTGTTGGCAATGACACAGGTCAAACGTTTTCTGTAAGTCTTCACAAGGTTTTCATACACTGTTGCTGTTATTTTGGCCCATTCCTCCATGCAGATCTCCTCTAGAGCAGTGATGTTTTGGGGCTGTCGCTGGGCAACACGGACTTTCAACTCCCTCCAAAGATTTTCTATGGGGTTGAGATCTGGAGACTGGCTAGGCCACTCCAGGACCTTGAAATGCTTCTTACGAAGCCACTCCTTCGTTGCCCTGGCCGTGTGTTTGGGATCATTGTCAATCTGAAAGACCCAGCCACGTTTCATCTTCAATGCCCTTGCTGTTGGAAGGAGGTTTTCACTCAAAATCTCACGATACATGGCCCCATTCATTCTTTCCTTTACACGGATCAGTCGTCCTGGTCCCTTTGCAGAAAAACAGCCCCAAAGCATGATGTTTCCACCCCCATGCTTCACAGTAGGTATGGTGTTCTTTGGATGCAACTCAGCATTCTTTGTCCTCCAAACACGACGAGTTGAGTTTTTACCAAAAAGTTCTATTTTGGTTTCATTTGACCATATGACATTCTCCCAATCCTCTTGTGGATCATCCAAATGCACTATATAGCAAACTTCAGACGGGCCTGGACGTGTACTGGCTTAAGCAGGGGGACACGTCTTGCACTGCAGGATTTGAGTCCCTGGCGGCGTAGTGTGTTACTGATGGTAGGCTTTGTTACTTTGGTCCCAGCTCTCTGCAGGTCATTCACTAGGTCCCCCCGTGTGGTTCTGGGATTTTTGCTCACCGTTCTTGTGATCATTTTGACCCCACGGGGTGAGATCTTGCGTGGAGCCCCAGATCGAGGGAGATCATCAGTGGTCTTGTATGTCTTCCATTTCCTAATAATTGCACCCACAGTTGATTTCTTCAAACCAAGCTGCTTACCTATTGCAGATTCAGTCTTCCCAGCCTGGTGCAGGTCTACAATTTTGTTTCTAGTGTCCTTTGACAGCTCTTTGGTCTTGGCCATAGTGGAGTTTGGAGTGTGACTGTTTTAGGTTGTGGACAGGTGTCTTTTATACTGATAACAAGTTCAAACAGGTGCCATTAATACAGGTAACGAGTGGAGGACAGAGGAGCCTCTTAAAGAAGAAGTTACAGGTCTGTGAGAGACAGAAATCTTGCTTGTTTGTAGGTGACCAAATACTTATTTTCCCCCATAATTTGCAAATAAATTCATTAAAAATCCTACAATGTGATTTTCTGGAGAAAAAAAATCTCAATTTTCTGTCATAGTTGACGTGTACCTATGATGAAAATTACAGGCCTCTCTCATCTTTTTAAGTGGGAGAACTTACACAATTGGTGGCTGACTAAATACTTTTTTTCCCCACTGTAGATGTATGTGCAGTGAGGGTAACAAAAAATACACAGAAAGACCTAATACAAAATAAATCAGCTTTATTGTTATAGAGTGTTTGTCGGATGATTGTGATAAATAAATGAATGATAATAAAAAAATACATTAATAGATTGGATTTATACAGCATTTTTCTCTCTTCACAACACAATAACAAAGCAGAATTGTCAATCATGTACAGTATGTAGGTTTAATATCAGGTTAATGATCATACGATTCTTACAACAAAGGTCTCACATACTTCACAACAACTTCTGACTGAGCTTGTGACAATGTTTACAAGCGATATCTGTAAAGACCTCATTTATTCAGTGTCCAAAGCTGTTAATGAGATGTTAATGAGAAATTGAGGGAGTTGTGATTTGGCATGTGGCTGTTCCACACAGAATTACATGGCATCTTTGTGCTATCCCATACTATTGCTTCTGTGTTTGCCCTCCACTCAGAGCCAGAGCCATGTATTTAGAGAGTTGGACCAACTTTTAGACATTCATTTACACAGCAATATTTCAATATTCCCCATGTAATATTAATGGGGTGCTAACATGGCTGCCATAGAATGTTGTAGCGTCATGTAAATGCACATAATGCAGAAACCTCAATGGCCCAACTCTCTAAAGACATGACGTTGCTCAGAGCCACAGCCACTGCTCTTGTTCATATGGTTTCAAACTGTGATAAGCAGGGGTGCAATATAATTAATTTAGGAACCCTTCTCTCCCCTGTTTGAGCTACCTTTCTGGGACATTTGTCTTGATTCAGTTGGTGGGGTTGTCATTGTTGAGGATCCAGTCGATCCATCTGACATCGTTTCTCACTTTAGTGTAGACTTCTGGGAGTAAGGGTTGGCATGGCTGATTCCCTACGGCTGATTCCCTACGGCTGATTCCCTACGGCTGATTCTCTACGGCTGATTCCCTACGGCTGATTCCCTATGAGACGATGCCTTCCAAGTTTCCATTGCAGATAAGGGGTCCGCCCGAGTCGCCCTGTAGAACAATAACACAAAAGACACAATAATGAACAAAAGCTCTGGTCCTTTTGTTAGGGCTACAAAGTAACTCTTTGTAACTTCTGACCAGCTCCCTCCCCTCAAACTCGAGCCATGAACTGACTTGGCCTCTATTGGTTTGACATTTTAGTCATTTAGCAGACGCTCTTATCCAGAGCGACTTACAGTTAGTGAGTGCATACATTTTTCATACTGGCCCCCCGTGGGAATCGAACCCACAACCCTGGCGTTGCAAACGCCATGCTCTACCAACTGAGCTACACGGGGCCATGATACAGTATATTGCTTGTTTCTTTCTTTCTTTTTTGCTTATGAAGCGCTTTGAGATGTCTATTATGAATACATTTAATAAATTAAATTTAGTAAATTAATATTATTATTATTACAAAGTGTGAACACACCTCTCTTATCTGGCCAATTTGATGTTAAGTTACCACATGTCCTATGATCTGGGGACCAGTAGCTGATGTCCCTTATCTGAACACAAACATTTCCCTAATCCAAACTGTAAATATCCCCATTGGCTCTGGCCCAGTTTTTAAGGGCCACACCCTATTATTCACACCAGTCTATACCTAGGCTCTTGTGACAAATGTTAAAGATTTGGTTCTGGGTGCCGAGATTAGGCTTTACCTGACAGGAGTCCATGTCACCAAAGCGAGTCCCAGCACACATCATGTTGTCTGTGATCCTCCAGTAGTAGTAGTAGTAGTAGTAGTAGTAGTAGTAGTAGTAGTGGTAGTGGTAGTGGTAGTGGTAGTAGTGGTAATAATAGTAGTAGCAGTGGCAGTAAGGTCTGCATATCTGCAGCACAGGGGACAGGTAGTAGCTGTAGAAACAGGTGATGCCCCAGCCGCTCACTGTACAGGTGGTGTACATTTACATTTACGTCATTTAGCAGACGCTCTTATCCAGAGCGACTTACAAATTGGTGCATTCACCTTATAGCCAGTGGGATAACCACTTTACAAAGTTTTATTTTATTTTATTTATTTATTTATTTTTTTGGGGGGGGGGGGGGGGGGTAAGGGGGGGGTAGAAGGATGAGGAGAATGTGGCAAAGAGCTTCCTAGGGTTAGAGGCAGATGCTTGGAATTTAGAGTGGTAGAAAGTGGCCTTAGCAGCAGAAACAGATGAAGAAAATGTAGAGAGGAGGGAGTGAAAAGATGCCAGGTCGGCAGGGAGTTTAGTTTTCTTCCATTTCCGCTCCGCTGCCCTGAGCTCTGTTCTGTGAGCTCGCAATGAGTCATCAAGCCACGGAGCTGGAGGGGAGGACCGAGCCGGCCGGGAGGATAGGGGACACAGGGAGTCAAAGGATGCAGAAAGGGAGGAGAGGAGGGTTGAGGAGGCAGAGTCAGGAGATTGGAGGGAGAAGGATTGAGCAGAGGGAAGAGATGATAGGATGGAAGAGGAGAGAGTAGTGGGAGAGAGAGAGCGAAGGTTGCGGCGGCGTGTTACCATCTGTGTAGGGGCAGAGTGAGTAGTGTTGGAGGAGAGCGAGAGAGAAAAGGATACAAAGTAGTGGTCGGAGACATGGAGGGGAGTTGCAGTGAGATTAGTAGAAGAGCAACATCTAGTAAAGATGAAGTCAAGCGTATTGCCTGCCTTGTGAGTAGGGGGGGACGGTGAGAGGGTGAGGTCAAAAGAGGAGAGGAGTGGAAAGAAGGAGGCAGAGAGAAATGAGTCAAATGTAGACGTAGGGAGGTTGAAATCCCCCAAAACTGTGAAGGGTGAGCCATCCTCAGGAAAGGAACTTATCAAGGCGTCAAGCTCATTGATGAACTCTCCAAGGGAACCTGGAGGGCGATAGATGACAAGGATATTAAGCTTAAATTTATTTTATTTTTATTTTATTTCACCTTTATTTAACCAGGTAAGCCAGTTGAGAACAGGTTCTAATTTACAACTGCGACCTGGCCAAGATAAAGCAAAGTAGTGCAATAAAAACAACACAGAGTTACATATGGGGTAAAAAACATAAAGTCAGAAATACAACAGAAAATATATATACAGTGTGTGCAAATGTAGCAAGTTATGGAGGTAAGGCAATAAATAGGCTATAGTGCAGAATAATTACAATAGTATTAACACTGGAATGCTAGATGTGCAAGAGATTATGTGCAAATAGAGATACTGGGGTGCAAAAGAGCAAAATAAATAACAATATAGGGATGAGGTAGTTGGGTGGGCTAATTTCAGATGGGCTAGTGGCTGTGACAGCGTGGAATTTAAATGGGCTAGTGACTGTGACAGCGTGGAATTCAAATGAGGAGATAGACAGATGGGTTAGGGGAAAAATTGAGAATGACCACTTGGGAGAGATGAGGATTCCTGTGCCACCACCCCTCTGACCAGATGCTCTCGGGGTATGCGAGAACACATGGTCAGACGAGGAGAGAGCAGTAGGAGTAGCAGTGTTTTCAGTGGTAATCCATGTTTCCGTCAGCGCCAGGAAGTCGAGGGACTGGAGGGTAGCATAGGCTGGGATGAAGTCAGCCTTGTTGGCGGCAGAACGGCAGTTCCAGAGGCTGCCTGAGACCTGGAACTCCAGGTGTGTGGTGCGTGCAGGGACCACCAGGTTAGAGAGGCAGCAGCCACGCGGTGTGAGGCGTTTGTGTAGCCTGTGCGGAGAGGAGAGAACAGGGATAGGCAGAGGCATAGTTGACAGGCTGCAGCAGATGGCTACAATAATGCAGAGGAGATCGGAATGAAATGAACTAAACATCTGGGAAAGGAGAGAGCAGGCCTCCCTCACCAAAAAAATATAACTCTCCCAACTTCCACCTCAGAAACTATAATTGTTTCACTGAACCACCCGAATAAAACTCTCCCAACTTCCACTTTAGAAATTAGAATTGTTGTAAACTACAGCGGTTCAATGTTTCAATGAATAGACTCAACTTACTTTATTCAGCTAGCTAACTATGACGCCATAGCTAACTAGCATGCTAGCATCCAATAACACACAGTTTAGCACCAATACTTGGTTACAACAAACTACCAATAGTGTGTGAACACACTAAACAGATAATTTGTGTCCGTGTCTAGTTCTTTCATAACGCAGCAATGATTAAACGTTGGCTAGCTAGCACAAAGATATTGTATTTAGCTACTACAGTACAGCCAGCTGGTAGTGTTGGCTAGCTAGCAATGGCTGCTGTGTTGACTTTGTTTGAAAAAAATAATAGTAGTAGCAGTGGCAGTAAGGTCTGCATATCTGCAGCACAGGGGACAGGTAGTAGCTGTAGAAACAGGTGATACCTCCGTTTCAAAAAATAATAGTAGTAGCAGTGGCAGTAAGGTCTGCATATCTGCAGCACAGGGGACAGGTAGTAGCTGTAGAAACAGGTGATGCCCCAGCCGCTCACTGTACAGGTGGTGTACATTTACATTTACGTCATTTAGCAGACGCTCTTATCCAGAGCGACTTACAAATTGGTGCATTCACCTTATAGCCAGTGGGATAACCACTTTACAAAGTTTTTTTTTTGTTTAAAAAAAAAAAAAATGGTGGGGGGGGGGGGGGGGGGGGGGGGTGGGGTTCAAGGGGGGGTAGAAGGATTACTTTATCCTATCCCAGGTATTCCTTAAAGGGGTGGGGTTTCAAGTGTCTCCGGAAGGTGGTGAGTGACTCCGCTGTCCTGGCGTCGTGAGGGAGCTTGTTCCATCATTGGGGTGCCAGAGCAGCGAACAGTTTGACTGGGCTGAGCGGGAACTGTGCTTCCGCAGAGGTAGGGGGGCCAGCAGGCCAGAGGTGGATGAACGCAATGCCCTCGTTTGGGTGTAGGGACTGATCAGAGCCTGAAGGTACGGAGGTGCCGTTCCCCTCACAGCTCCATAGGCAAGCACCATGGTCTTGTAGCAGATGCGAGCTTCAACTGGAAGCCAGTGGAGTGTGCGGAGGAGCGGGGTGACGTGAGAGAACTTGGGAAGGTTGAACACCAGACGGGCTGCGGCATTCTGGATGAGTTGTAGGGGTTTAATGGCACAGGCAGGGAGCCCAGCCAACAGCAAGTTGCAGTAATCCAGACGGGAGATGACAAGTGCCTGGATTAGGACCTGTGCCGCTTCCTGTGTAAGGCAGGGTCGTACTCTCCGAATGTTGTAGAGCATGAACCTACAGGATCGGGTCACCGCCTTGATGTTAGCGGAGAACGACAGGGTGTTGTCCAGGGTCACGCCAAGGCTCTTCGCACTCTGGGAGGAGGACACAATGGAGTTGTCAACCGTGATGGCGAGATCATGGAACGGGCAGTCCTTCCCCAGGAGGAAGAGCAGCTCCGTCTTGTCAAGGTTCAGCTTGAGGTGGTGATCCGTCATCCACACTGATATGTCTGCCAGACATGCAGAGATGCGATTCGCCACCTGGTTATCAGAAGGGGGAAAGGAGAAGATTAGTTGTGTGTCGTCTGCGTAGCAATGATAGGAGAGGCCATGCGAGGATATGACAGAGCCAAGTGACTTGGTGTTTAGCAAGAATAGGAGAGGGCCTAGAACTGAGCCCTGGGGGACACCAGTGGTGAGAGCACATGGTGCGGAGACAGTATCTCGCCAAGCCACTTGGTAGGAGCGACCGGTCAGGTAGGACGCAATCCAAGAGTGAGCCGCGCCGGAGATGCCCAGCTCGGAGAGGGTGGAGAGGAGGATCTGATGGTTCACAGTATCAAAGGCAGCAGACAGGTCTAGAAGGACAAGAGCATAGGAGAGAGAGTTAGCTTTAGCAGTGCGGAGAGCCTCTGTGACACAGAGAAGAGCAGTCTCAGTTGAATGACCAGTCTTGAAACCTGACTGGTTTGGATCAAGAAGGTTATTCTGAGAGAGATAGCAAGAGAGTTGGCTAAAGACGGCACGCTCAAGACTTTTGGAGAGAAAAGAAAGAAGGGATACTGGTCTGTAGTTGTTGACATCAGAGGGATCGAGTGTTGGTTTTTTGAGAAGGGGTGCAACTCTCTCTCTTGAAGACGGAAGGGACATAGCCAGCGTTCAAGGATGAGTTGATGAGCGTACCCTTGGAGAGCAGGGGTGTTGTCCTCTGGCAGTACGGCAGGCTGAACGTAGGCATTGAGCTGGGCTCGCTCACTGAGCTAGGACACACACAACCACAGCAAAGGCACACAATCAGATGCTACTGACCAATCAGGAGGCCCACAATCAGATGCTGACCAATCAGAGAGCAGGGATCAACAGGGGCGGGGTGAAGTTATGGTTTAGTGTCTAGGCTGCAGCAGTATCTGAAGTTGTGCTGTGAGTAGACTAACTGAAATATAAGGTACAAACACAGTAACACCATCGATAGGTTTCGATATTTACACTAGCATACCACTTGCCCAAGCTTCATTGTAAGTGGTATGCCTGTGTGGGTATTGAAACACAGCACGTCTCTACCTCATGGTGGTGGAATGTTAAGAAAAGTATCTTCCCTTGATGAGCATGATGTCGTTGTTGAAAGTCCTGCAGCTGTAGTGATAGAAAAACAAAACACATTCATTTCACTTTAGGACCAATAGAATTGTCCAAAACCCGTTTGAGCTAAAATGAATCCACCCATATATTCTATTGTGTACTGTACACTGTTATCCATCACTCTCCCATTATTGTAGTCAGTACTCACGGTTTCCAGCAGTGGGCAGCCGACACCACCTACTTGGACCGGATGAGTGTGGCTCCACGGTAGTGGTCCCTGTTACGCCTGGTACTTGTGAGCGTATGGCTGGACCTTCTGGCCTCCGATGATTCTCTTTGAAAATGTCTCTGTGGATTAGAATGAGAGGACAGTTATTAATCTGAATTAGAAATCTGGTTTACACAGATTCCTATATGTGCATATATTAAAAACCGGTATGGATACACTAATTGAACAGATGGCTGAAAAATAAATACTTGAGGCCTGATAGATGATGCTGTTCAAGGCTCTGTGGCCCTCATTAGAAAAAACAATGTAAATTATGAAACCGGTGTAAACTGTATGTGTTAATTACACAAAATCACTAACCAGCTGGAGATTGGCAGCATACTGTACTTTAAATTGTCGTACTATTATAATGTACAAACATCATGTTTTTCACCTACGATGTACCTTATGCTGTGTATACAAAACTGAGTATACAAAACATTAGGAACACCTTTATTGAGTTGCACCCCCTTTTGCCCTCAGAACAGCCTCAATTCATCAGGGCATGGACTCTACAAGGTGTCAAAAGTGTTCAACAGAGATGCTGGCCCATGTTAACTCCAATGCTTCCCTCAGTTGTGTCAAATTGGCTGGATGTCCTTTGGGTGATGGTCCATTCTTGAAACACACAGGAAAATGTTGAGTATGAAACCCAGCAGCACTGCAGTTCTTGACACACTCAAAACGGTGCGCCTGGCACCTACTACCATACTCTGTTCAAAGCACTTAAATATTTTGTCTTGCCCATCACCCTCTGAATGGCACACATACACAATCCATGTCTCAATTGTCTCAAGGCTTAAAGGGATACTTCGGGATTTTGACAATGAAGCCCTTTATCTATGTACTTCCCCAGAGTCAGATGAACTCGTGGATACCATTTTTATGTCTCTGCGTGCAGTTTGAAGGAAGTTGCTAACTAGCGCTAGCTAACTAGCGTTAGCACAATGACTGGAGGTCTATGCGTATCTGCTTTGCGCTAATGCTAGTTAGCGTTGGTTTACAAAACTACCTCTAACTTCCTTCATACTGGACACAGAGACATAATAATGGTATCCAATAGTTAATCTGACTCTGGTGAAGTATCCCTTTAAAAATCCTTCTTTAACCTGTCTCCTCCCCTTCATCTACACTGATTGAAGAGGATTTAACAAGTGACATCAATAAGGGATCATAGCTTTCACCTGGATTCACCTGGTCAGTCTATGTCATGTAAAGAGCGCTGTCATACACGTCGATCCAGAGCATCCCAAACATTCTCAATGGGTGACATGTCTGGTGAGTATGCAGGCCATGGAAGAACTGGGACATTTTCAGCTTCCAGGAGTTGTGTACAGATCCTTGCAACATGGGGTCATTCATTATCATGCTGAAACATGAGGTGATGGTGGCAGATGAATGGCACGACAATGGGCCTCAGGATCTCGTCACGGTATCTCTGTGCATTCAAATTGCCATAGATAAAATGCAATTGTGTTCATTGTGCGTAGCTTATGCCTGCCCATACTATAACCCCACCGCCACCCTGGGGCACTCTTTTCACAACGTTGACATCAGCAAACTGCTCGCCCACACAACGGCATACATGTGGTCTGCGGTTGTGAGGCCGGTTGGACGTACTGCCAAATTCTCTAAAACAATGTTGGATGTGGCTTATGGTAGAGAAATTAACAGTAAATTATCTGGCAACAGCTCTGGTGGACATTCCTGCAGTCAGCATGCTAATTGCACTCTCCCTGAAAACTTGAGACATTTGTACATTTTAGAGTGGCCTTTTATTGTCCTCAGCACAAGGTGCACCTGTGTAATCATCATGCTGTTTAATCAGCTTCTTGACATGCCACACCTGTCAGGCGGATGGTTATCTTGGCAAAGGAAAAATTCTCACTCACAGGGTAGTAATTTAAATGTAGCCTTTTGTGCGTATGGAACATTTCGGGGATATTTTATTTCAGCTCATGAAACATGGGATTTTACATGTTGCGTTTATAATTGGCACCCTTGACAGCCGGAATAGCTCTGTAACAAGGTGAGTAGGATGGAGCCAGGTGCAGGAGGTGTGAATCAAAGTATAGGGTTTATTTGGCCAATACAGCAGTCAGCAGCAATGCTTAAACCAAATACAGTGCGACTTCAATGCGTACTGGGAAAACAAAACACACGGGTGAATATCCCGGCGATAAAAGTAACATAATGCTCAACACGAGCTAGCGACCCCTCCGCATGGAACAATAACACACAAAGACATGTGGGAGCAGAGGGAATAATTATACAGAGACTGATGAGGGGATATGTACCAGGTGTGTGTGAAAAACAAGACAAAACAAATGGAATGATGAAAAGAGGAGCGGCAGTGGCTAGAAGGCCGGTGACGACGAACGCCGAAGTCTGCCCGAACAAGGAGATGAGGCAGCTTCGGAGGGAGTCGTGACAGGCTCATGGGAGCAGGAGCCTACAGTAATTCCTGTAACGAGTACTTTTTGGTATCAGTAAAAAATACATTATTTTCTTTAGGAATGTAGTGGAGTAAAAGTAAAAGTTGTCAAACTATAAATAATAAAGTAAAGTACAGATACCCCAAAAACGACTTAGTACTTTAAAGTATTTTTACTTAAGTACTTTACACCACTACCAAGGACTGTGATTTACTAATGGCTGTTGAGGTGGTCCAAGGACAGACAGTGGCTCATGACTGCTTTATATATGGGCCTTTGTAGCACCCTGTTCCAATTATGCTCTTACGGTAAATTGGGTTTATTGAGGTCATGTTCATCTTTTCCTGAATGGAAAAGTAGAGCGTGTCACATTACTGTGTAAATCACACTGTTTGCAATTCAACAGCATATGTTTACAATATTTACCACATATTCAGAAATGAAATAATATACATTTTGAAGAAAGCTTTATGTAGTACATTATGCTCAAGGCTGTTCTTTCCTGGTTGCCATTATGTTAGTGATATCACGTTATTATATGGATACGTTGTGTGAAATGATATACAGTCATGATACTGTATATAGAATGATTGTATTTTCCAGAAGGATATGTTACAGTATATAGGATATATAGGATACTGTATGCACATGTTAGGGTGTCATCAACTTTCTAAGATTTCATATAATTTGTCCCAATGTAGATCAAGATAAACACAAAACATTTCAGGATTACAGTATATGTAAGAAGGAATTTACAGAGTATTTATGTTTGACCTTTTTAGATTCCGGAACTGGAATTTAGTGAACGTATGGTCCACTGATTTCTATCTGGTACAGAAACTTAAATAACAGACATCTGTGCTGGATTGTAAGGTAAATTCATCTCTATATCAAATGTTGTTACAGGTCAGTGGTCAAAACAGTGAGGTCACCGTCATACAGACAAAGGCAGGAATAGGGTCAATTCCACTGAAATTCCAGTTATAATTCCAATTTTCTTCATAGTTTACAAAAAGGAAAATTGGAATTTCAGTTTTACTTCATGAATTGACTGAATTAAAATGGAATTGACCCCAGGGAGATGAAGATGGGGTAAAGGCCCTGTAACGTGATGACAGTATTGGAGCGGAGGAGCGCATCGTGGAAAAACAGCTTTGGTCAGCACCCAGAGGATGAGCAGCAGAGAGAGAGAGGGAGGGAGGGAGGAGGTTGCTTGCTGTGTCAGACAGTGTCAGACCCAGAGACAGTGTCAGACCCAGAGAGGGCCATTAGCTGGCTGAGGTCAGGAGGTCCACCAGGGGAAGGTGGCACTGGTGAGATAGAGAGACAGAGAGAGGGAAACAAAGCGAGAGAGAGAAATAGAGAGAGAGAGGGTGGTGTACGGTGGCACTGATGAGCCCTGTCAGAGCTCTGGTGCTCCATTTTTAATGATGCCCTAGCCAGACCTGTTGGGAAGATGTACTGGGCCAAGCCTGAGGGAGTACACTGCTGCTGCTCAGTCAAACGGCCGTCAATCACTCCAGACTGTAGAGATCAATAAGAAAAGACAGAGTAATGATGAAGAGCTGAGAAACCTCACTCTTCACTCTCTTTTTCATTAAGACATGAAGTCGATCCATTTCTCATACACATTGATGGTACAGCCCATTTCTCATACACATTGGTAGTGCTTTGGTCGTAAACTCTCACCAGTGGTGATCCTATGGTAAGACGGTGTATTGCATTTAGGCCCCAATTCAATCAGTTGCAGGTCAAGAAAAATGCATAGCGGGTTGCTGGGATCATTCAGAATGTTTACACCTACAGTGAGGGAAAAAAGTATTTGATCCCCTGCTGATTTTGTACGTTTGCCCACTGACAAAGACATGATCAGTCTATAATTTTAATGGTAGGTTTATTTGAACAGTGAGAGACAGAATAACAACAAAAAAATACAGAAAAACACATGTCAAAAATGTTATAAATTGATTTGCATTTTAATGAGGGAAATAAGTATTTGACCCCTCTGCAAAACATGATTTAGTACTTGGTGGCAAAACCCTTGTTGGCAATCACAGAGGTCAGATGTTTCTTGTAGTTGGCCACGAGGTTCGCACACATCTCAGGAGGGATTTTGTTCCACTCCTCTTTGCAGATCTTCTCCAAGTCATTAAGGTTTCGAGGCTGACGTTTGGCAACTCAAACCTTCAGCTCCCTCCACAGATTTTCTATGGGATTAAGGTCTGGAGACTGGCCACTCCAGGACCTTAATGTGCTTCTTCTTGAGCCACTCCTTTGTTGCCTTGGCTGTGTGTTTTGGGTCATTGTCATGCTGAAATACCCATCCACGACCCATTTTCAATGCCCTGGCTGAGGGAAGGAGGTTCTCACCCAAGATTTGACGGTACATGGCCCCGTCCATCGTCCCTTTGATAAGGTGAAGTTGTCCTGTCCCCTTAGCAGAAAAACACCTCCAAAGCATAATGTTTCCACCTCTATGTTTGACGGTGGGGATGGTGTTCTTGGGGTCATAGGCAGCATACCTCCTCCTCCAAACACGGCGTGTTGAGTTGATGCCAAAGAGCTCGATTTTGGTCTCATCTGACCACAACACTTTCACCCAGTTCTCCTCTGAATCATTCAGATGTTCATTGGCAAACTTCAGACGGCCCTGTATATGTGCTTTCTTGAGCAGGGGGACCTTGCGGGCGCTGCAGGATTTCAGTCCTTCACGGCGTAGTGTGTTACCAATTGTTTTCTTGGTGACTATGGTCCCAGCTGCCTTGAGATCATTGACAAGATCCTCCCGTGTAGTTCTGGGCTGATTCCTCACCGTTCTCATGATCATTGCAACTCCACGAGGTGAGATCTTGCATGGAGCCCCAGGCCGAGGGAGATTGACAGTTATTTTGTGTTTCTTCCATTTGCGAATAATCGCACCAACTGTTGTCACCTTCTCACCAAGCTGCTTGGCGATGGTCTTGTAGCCCATTCCAGCCTTGTGTAGGGCTACAATCTTGACCCTGACATCCTTGGAGAGCTCTTTGGTCTTGGCCATGGTGGAGAGTTTGGAATCTGATTGATTGATTGCTTCTGTGGACAGGTGTCTTTTATACAGGTAACAAACGGAGATTAGGAGCACTCCCTTTAAGACTCCTAATCTCAGCTCGTTACCTGTATAAAAGATACCTGGGAGCCAGAAATCTTTCTGATTGAGAGGGGGTCAAATACTTATTTCCCTCATTTTCTGGATTTTGTTGTTGTTATTCTGTCTCTCACTGTTCAAATAAACCTACAAAAACACATTTACTTGAAGAGTTGTGCAGTTGCAAAGTTTGGTAACAGAATGACAGCACAGACAGCACAAACCATCATTCTGTTACCAAACTTTGCAACTGCACTGTTCTTCAAGTAAATGGGTTTTTGTAAAATGTTCAGTGGAAATTGTTAAAAGTAGTCTTTATGCATAGAATTGTATGGTTTGTTTAACTTTGCGATCATTGGTTTTATGTTTGGCATATATTTTAAAGTGAAAAATCTGAGTCTCAGCATCACTCTGTTTCAGTGGAATTGCCCTTTTGTCCCTGGGAAACTAGAGAAAAGCATCTCCCCAGGCCCAGCAACAGTCAGCAGACTAACATTTCTTACTTTCTAATCATTAGAAAAGACTGAAAAGGTCACAGTACAGGTTATGCCAGGTGGTGTAGGCTTTATGCTGCTGCTGCGTCAGTTATATATTGTTCCAGGATGACAGGGTGGCCATGGAAACGGAAATCGGAACTAAGAAACCTGAGAATACTGATGAGATCCCAGAACCCTTCCCCTTAAGATTGTAGTAGTGTAGCACAGGTAAAGGTGAACGTCTCTGTCTGGTCTGGTCTCTCCTCTGGTCTCTCCTTTGTTTCAACATGAACCTGCCTTCGGTTTTACAATGTATACTTCTGGAACTCCTTGCTGTAAGCTGTAAGTAAATGTTTCATTTTCTGGTTAATTTACTGTTGTAGTAAGTGGCTGTGTGTGGATGAATAGTCCATTGAATGCTGATTTTATGGTTGAATGTGAAAAAACGAAAGTAAAATAAGTTGAAAGGGTTATAGTAGAATTTGCTCATTGTGGTTATAACGTCATAAGCTTGAACAGTTTTTCTATGTACTGTATATTTTTTAATGATATTATATACACATTGGGACTATCTTTTTGTCAATTTTTTGTCACTGGCATTTTTATCTAGAGATGATTATTGCTACAGTTGATTTGTTTGTAATTAGGAATCTAGAATTAGGAATTTAGAAATGAAATCACTTTGACAGTTATGGCTGAGGTCCAAAGTGGGTAGAGTAACTCATCGAAAATGTCAGGCTCACTCTCATCTGAAAAGTCAAGTTATGATGTCTGACTTATTTGTCTGACCAAACAATTATTGACAAGCTAAGTTTTCACCTAAACACTCATGGAGTGATTTTCTTCTAGTACTATTATTTTTTAGCTTCTTTAACAGATACCAATAATGCATTTTTACTTTAGGCTACTTTTTTCACATATCAATTACAGGAAATTATGTATCCAAGTTCAAAAGTGCATTTCAGTTATACCTTTGGATTGAAAGAAGATGAAAGCAACGCATGTTTACTAAAGCCATGGAACTTAAAATCAAAGTAGTTTCAGGTAAGTGTCTTCAACCTGTGAGTCTGAACACAGGTTAAAAGACATGCTCTCTGTGACTTATAGTTATAATATAATATGCCATTTAGCAGACGCTTTTAACCAAAGCGACTTACAGTCATGTGTGCATACATTTTTACGTATGGGTGGTCCCGGGGATCGAACCCACTACCCTGGCGTTACAAGCGCCATGCTCTACCAATTGAGCTACAGAGGACCATTATGTGTTAGTTCCCTAGGTATTAGTTCCATAGACTTATATAGACTTATATCATTAACGTGTTAGTTCTCATACTATGTTCTCATACTGTGGTAGACAGGTCATAGTCTTCAGCTATTTCAGCCACATACTGTACCAGAATAAGGGTGCAGTCTATGCAGGTTGGCATTTATTGAGATGACTCCTGTACTGGAGGCAGCTCTGCAGAGAGGTGACTAGCTGGCAGAGCCACAAAGTCATGAAATCTGATTTTAAACCTAATCTTAACCCTAACCTTAACCACACTGCTAACCCTAATGCCTAACCCTAACCTTAAATGATGACCAAAAATGACTTTTCTTTCATGTTTTTTTCAATACATCCAATTATGACTTTGCAGCTGGCCCATTACATTTATATTTGACATTTTAGTCATTTATCAGATGCTCTTCTCCAGAGCGACTTACCATTCATTCATCTTAAGATAGCTAGGTGGGACAACCACATACCATCTAGCGGAAACCGCTCAGTTCTGCCTCCAGGGCAATACTCATGACAATAAACGTCAACCTGCGCAGTCTATAGTGGGTCACATTGTATAGGGTTACCTTTCTTGCTGCTTCTCACATGGAACTGTCTAATTATAGCATGGGCCAGGATCAATATCCAGGAACGTAATGGAGCATTGGCTTTCATCCCATAGAGAGATCTCAGTTCCTGTCTAGTCTCTACCCACTGGGCACAGACGTCATTTCAACTTCTAGTTTTGATTTACATTTGAGTTGTCAACTAATGTGAATTCAACGTGAAATCAACAACAGATGTCACCATGTCACTGGATTTAGGTTGAAAGTTGGGTGAAGAAAATACTAAACTCCCTTACGTTGATGATTTTTGCAAAACCAATCAGTTTTCGACGTTGATTCAACGTCATCACATTGATTTATTTCATTGAAATGACCTGAAAACAATGTTGTTTCAACCAGTTTTTGCCCAGTGGGTAGTGCTCAAACCTGGGTTTTCTGTGTGCTAACTTAATTAAATACATACTGTACCTAGACAGTGTGTCCTAGACAATATTCCCCTCTGGGACTATCCAAAAAGACAAAAAGGTGGCAAGTATGATGCAGATAAACTTTAGTGAATGTAGTATATAGACCTTAGTTCCCTCTGGAACAATACAGTTTATTGTATCCTATTCTATCTTATCCTATGCTATACATGATGAGTAAACAGACAGCAGTAAAATGAGGGATTTTACTCTGAAACAGTCTTCGCAAGATGCTTTATATGTATAGATATTCAAAGAAACAGCACAAGCGAAACAAACCATGTCATGGAATTTGTTTTATTTTTTTAAAATTTTATTTCACCTTTATTTAACCAGGTAAGCCAGTTGAGAACAGGTTCTCATTTACAACTGCGACCTGGCCAAGATAAAGCAAAGTAGTGCAATAAAAACAACACAGAGTTACATATGGGGTAAAAAACATAAAGTCAGAAATACAACAGAAAATATATATACAGTGTGTGCAAATGTAGCAAGTTATGGAGGTAAGGCAATAAATAGGCTATAGTGCAGAATAATTACAATAGTATTAACACTGGAATGCTAGATGTGCAAGAGATTATGTGCAAATAGAGATACTGGGGTGCAAAAGAGCAAAATAAATAACAATATAGG